CAGCAGTAAGAGGAGTACTGCTTTGCATGTGTATCTTCATGTTTAAATTGGAATCTGAGCTAGGGACACCTAGACAGGGCGTTCACACTGCCCAAGAGCAAAAAGTTCCTGTTGCCAAATGTCATTAGCGTTTCCTAAAAAAGCAAACTTACCATGCCAGCTCCCCATTCTCAGACTCCTGCCCATTTCTATTCTCCATTCCACAGTTACCCACCCTACCATCTGCTTTCAACCTTTTTTTCCATCCTGCCTGGGACACTTCTCCTGAGCTTCCAGACCCACAGGTGGAAGTTCACTTCTGTACTTCACAGTTTACTTCCTCCCTCTATGAGCCTCCATGAGAAATGAAGTACTGGGTCCTGCTGTGGCATGGATTCAAACATGCTCTGTAAGCATGTGTGGTTTTTTTATCCTAGAAATTTCATCCCTAAGGCAATAACCCTAGTGTCCACTACATCAGTTACAATGCAACAAGGTATGCACACCGACTGGTTAGTTCATTGATGCCATAAATAACAGAAAACTGCTGAGTAGTCCTTGCTTTTTCTCTGGGGAGTATTAATTTGCGTTTATGATATCCAGCTGCTGATTGTCATGAAATTCGTAGGAACATATTACCCACACTCTTCCAAATTTGAAAGATTTAAAATTTACTGGGCAAAAATGAAAGGCATAGAGAATGATCTCAAGGGACTAATTTCCCTAGGAAAGATGGCAAAAAACCTGGGTGCACACTGCGTTATCACAAATCTGCCAGGAGATGATTCACAGAGAGAAAGCGAATACATCCTGGGAAAAAAAAACAAAAACATGTAATAGCCTCTCAGCCCCAAGCCCTCAGCCCCAAGGATGAGGAAGGTGAGGTTACTCATACAAGTGCTGTTGATACTCTCCTCCTGAAAGGTGCTGCTTTTCTGAAGCTCCAGAATTGCAATCAATATCAGCAGCAATAAAAACCTGGGATTGCAGCTGCTCCCTATGTGATGCATGTGTTGGTCACATACCTAGTGGCACATAGTGAAGGTAAGCTCAGGAGCCTGTTTTGTAAGTCCTTTTAAAAAAAATTTGGTCATAATCTTGACAAAGGCTCATTCCAGTGAATTTGTGTGTGTCTCAGTCTCCACTGAAACATTGGTAGCTGTTTGTACTCAGGATTTTGTAAGGCAAAACTCTAAAAATATAGGACAAAACACAGAATGTGAGAGCTTGTTTGCTGCAGACTTTCTTTCATGAGGTAGTGTATTAGAAAAATGCATTCTTCTCTGAAAAGAAATATTACCACCTATTAGAGCACCATTACCAAGGGAGATCAATATCTCTACCCAGACTGTACTTTAGAAGCTCATTTAACATATAATAAATTAATCATCTACAGCACCAACTTCTTTGAGGGCCACATGTTACTTAAACATCAGGAACATGTTGGATTTGTGATCAAAGCACGTCAGTCTGGCCACTGAAACTAGCCAACTTGTCCCACTGCCATAACAGCTGAGACAGAAAAACTAGGCAGAATTTTATGTGCTTGTCAAAGTATATTTATAAAATTATGTGAAACCTATAGCGTAAGCAGAGATTTTTGCAAGGCTTTCTCATTAAAAAGCATGTCATTTTAGAACACAGGACCTAATCTTAACTTTGGTAACTAGCCCTGAGTATTTGGCTTATCTCAAATCTCACATTTTGTTACTACCATCTGCAGCTTGAAAAAACATGTTTATGCATATTTTAGCAACATGACTGTAGATTTTATAGTTTTTAAAATTGCAATTGGTGGTTGGTACACTAGAATTCAATGTCATGTTTTCATGTTGGAATTCAGTGAGGTTTCAGGGTGTACTTCATGGATATTTTACCCAGAGAAAAAGCTGACCTAAATGATTGCTTCCACATAGCTCATCTTATCACCTCTATCATTCTGCCTGTGTAATAGTTTGATATGCAATGCTTCAAATAAGATCAATGGAATGATCCAAATGAAGAAAAATTTAACCTTCCCACCCTTCCCTAAAGGATTTAAAACATTGCTGCTGCTAGAAGAAACGTTCATGGAACTACCACTTGCATAAACCTTCCTGGTTCTACCTCTAAATTCCAGCCTTTGTGTATTTGGACAAAGCAATGCTCATCCTTTCTGTAGCATCAAAGATGATTGAAGGTGACAAATTATACAAATCTTATTTGCTAATGACTCACAAACCATCCTATATTCCCACCAGATTTTTATGATGTAAAAACATTCACAATATATTTAATGTAGCAAATAACCAGTGGAATATTTCTAAACAGTTTTCATTTCAGTGATTTTATATCCTACTCTGATTAAGCCAGGGAAGTTTCATGGCTTTACCCCCCCCCCCAGTTTTATGCCTGGAAATAGAAGAAAAAAGAATACTAGGGGTGATTTCTGAAAAGGAAAAGCTCTTTCACAAATTACCCCCATACATATGGAAATAACAACCATTGTACCTACGCAGCTATTTTCCAAATTACATTCATATGAAGGGTTATGAAGAGGAAGTAACAATAACTACAGAACTGGGACTACTGCTGGTGTAGTATTCACTTAGCCTTATCAAATAGCCATTTATCATGCCCAAGCAAGGACACAACAGAGGAAGTAGCCAGTCTAAATTTCCTCCTTGTTGTAATTGTCCCAAGATCTGATGCTGACTGCTGCTACAATTGCTTCAATTGTGAAATTTCCCTTATTCATTTCAGGGAGAGTTCCACAGACACACAGGTCATGGGACCCCACCCTTAGTGGGTCAAGGACACAAAGTAGCTACAAGCTCTTCATAAACAGGTAATCGAAACTCATATTCCTAAAAGACGGAAGCTGTTTTATTACCAAGTGAAGCAGACAGCTAGTGTGGCAATGTCATTATCAGAAAATGGCTGGATCGCTGTCTGAACCTGTATTGATAATAGATACTCTTTATGTTGAATGAAAGTGCACCTAGACTTGGGTTGGCTCCAGGTGAAACAGTCCAAATGCTCCAGTGAAATGGAGATTGGGCCTTGACCAGTCCATACAAAACAAGCACATTGAAGTTTTCCACCTTTACTCTTTGCCACTGTGTGCTGCCAGATGTCACTGGCCTCCCAGAACAGCTGCCCCTAGTGTGTCTCCATCAGAATCAGACAGGTAAGCAGCAATAGCTCACTGTGACTGAAACAACTGGGAAGCAGCTCCACAGAGTGTGGAAGGGAAAAACCTGTTGAAGAGGTATGAACAGTCATTACTTTCACTGGCAAGGCATTCTGCAGAGTCCGTATTTGTCTACATTCAGATTTTGGATCTGGTCTTGCCTTGCTGTCACATTAGCAGGGGCATGATGTGCTCTGGAGTGCTTATGACAGACCATGTATACGATCCATCATTTTCAGTGGGTTATTTGCATTTCCATCTCAGTTCTTAGATTGATTTGTTTCACTTTTGTCAACCATATCAAGCCCTGTGCTACCACTTTACTGAAGAGTTATAGGTAACCCAAGGACACAAGCAGTAAAGACCTCTGCTCTGTCATGAGGATTAGCCTCATTTCAGCCATGGCATGTACAGCAGCCCTATGCATAGATAAGGAAAGCTGAGAATTGTACAACTGATACTAACTCCTTCTCAAAAGCCAAGGAAACACCACTGCTGCCAAACAAGAGTTTTCTAGACTGGGTGTTAGCGTAGTGCAGCTGTAATCATGGCTGTTTCCAAATGAAGAAGAGATGTAAGTACTGCTAGCCTCTAGGCACCACAAAGACCAGGAACCCATAGTTAAGCACCATGTAATCCCTACAGACATCCCATTTAAATTGAGTTCTTGACCCAGTTAACCAGGAGTTTCTTCTTTTAACCATGGCATGAGTAATTCAGGCCCACAGGAAATGCTCCATTTAGACCAACTCCCAATTAAATGTATCCCAAGTAACAAGTTTGAACTTCCTGATAAATCAGCCACGATAATCTGAGTGGTGTGAGATACCCCAGCGCACCTCTAAACCTGCAATAAGAAGTAACTACAAGCAGGTTGCAGGATAGTGGCAGCTTTTGTGAAGAAAGAATTCTCTGTCTACCTGTCTAACTACACATACATACATATGTGTCCGGAAAAGGACCTGGGGGTGCTGGTCGACAGCCGGCTGAACATGAGCCATCAGTGTGCCCAGGTGGCCAAGAAGGCCAATGGCATCCTGGCCTGTATCAGAAATAGTGTGGCCAGCAGGAGCAGGGAAGTGATCGTGCCCCTGTACTCGGCACTGGTGAGGCCGCACCAGCTTGAATACTGTGTTCAGTTTTGGGCCCCTCACTACAAGAAGGACGTCGAGGTGTTGGAGCGTGTCCAGAGAAGGGCAATGAGGCTGGTGAAGGGTCTGGAGAACAAGTCTTATGAGGAGCAGCTGAGGGAGCTGGGGTTGTTTAGCCTGGAGAAAAGGAGGCTGAGGGGAGACCTCATTGCTCTCTACAACTACCTGAAAGGAGGTTGTAGCGAGGTGGGTGTTGGTCTCTTCTCCCAAGTAACAAGTGATAGGACGAGAGGAAATGGCCTCAAGTTGTGCCAGGGGAGGTTTAGATTGGACGTGAGGAAAAATGTCTTTACTGAAAGAGTGGTTAAACATTGGAACAGGCTGCCCAGGGAAGTGGTTGATTCACCATCCCTGGAGGTATTTAAAAGACGTGTAGATGAGGCGCTTAGGGACATGGTTTAGTGGGCATGGTGGTGTTGGGTTGACGGTTGGACTCGATGATCTTAGAGGTCTCTTCCAACCTTAAAGATTCTATGATTCTATGATCCTATATATATGTGTGTATACAGACATCTATATATGCATCACACACCTGGCAATGATATCAGTAACAGAAGATTTATTTACTCAGTATTTTGGAGCAATTGCCATGCCTCTGACTACCAACCTGGGTATCATCTTGATATCCTTGATCTAAAATCATGCTGCCAAGAAAATGTTCCTCTTCCCTGCTGAAAGATGAACTCTCTTCTCCAAATTTCCAGCAAGCTGTTTCCCATAGAACTTCAGGGACTGAAAACCCCACTTTTGGTTGTAAGCATCTCCAATTGAATTTCTACCAAGGTCACCATCCTATTGTACGTACCCTGACAACAGTGGAGTTGAAATAATTAGTTTGGAAACCACCAACTTCCCACATAGGCGGAGAACCAACACGAAACTTAGTGATGGGTTTACTATCTATAAAGCTTACTAATATCATCATGCTCACTTCTGTAAGCAGTCCAACTGACATAATTTACACCTCATAAAGTTAAGCTTGTCAGTATATGCAGGGCTATTGCCTATATATAAAGAAGCCACAGCTGTAAAGTCTGGCATCTCTCACCTCGCAGGACTAATAACAGGAAGTGTTTTCCACAGGAAAAGAAAGTCTTCTTAATGCAGCATCTTGGGTTTTGAGCTAATAGTATTTTTATACCCACAAAAGTCACTTCAGGATATTTTTAGGCATATTTCTTAGTTAAATGTTGATCTTTATGAGGTTGCATTGATAGAAACAAAAATGTCTAGATATTTTTATAGACAGAGGAATGGAATGCAAACTAGGATAGAATAGGATAGAATAGAATAGAATAGTATAGAATAGAATAGAACAGAACAGAACAGGTCAGTTGGAAGAAACCTGCAACGCTCATCTAGTCCAACTGCCTGACCAATTCAGGGCTGACCGAGTTAAAGCACGTTATTAAGGGCATTGTCCAAACGCCTCTTAAAACAGACAGGCTTCGGGCATCGACCACCTCTCTAGGAAGCCTGTTCCGGTGTTTGGCCACCCTCTCAGTAAAGAAATGCTTTCTAATATCAAGTCTGAACCTCCCCTGACGCAGCTTTGAACCATTCCCACGTGTCCTGTCACTGGGTAGCAGGGAGAAGAGATCGGCAGCTACTCCAGTAACTTTGTTAAAAACCTTTTGAAACTCCCTGAATAGTTCCCTGAAGCAACTCTGCAACATGCAAAAGAAAGGGATAAAACTTTGGGATAATAAAAAAGCTTCCGTGTGACTTTGGCATTTGTTAAAAATGTAATTAACAAAAATCCACCTCAAAAAAACCTTTCCTTCTATACCACATAATCATTCTTTCCTCATTGGTAAGAGTATATAGTATATTTTAAGTTTATTCTAAGCAGACATGTGTCTGCTCGTGTGGAAAACACCATTACTTTATGGGTTAAAAGTATAGTATAAAGACAGCTTTCTGATCTGAGATTTCACACATCTTTCTCTTAATTAAATTGAAAATTCCCTCAGTTCCGTAAGACATTAATTTATTCAAATGAATTAGTATTCAAATAATTTAGTTCCCATTCCTGGAAAATTCTGAATAATGTAACAACAAATGTTATGGTTTTCTGAAGCTTTTTTGCTTCAGAAAATAAGAAATGAGGAATTGACTTCATCCTGTAGAATTCCCAGAAAGGCACAGGGCTAAATTCTTTGCCTGTTGGCTTCACCAGACTTAAACCAGCTAGATCTGCCTCACCAAATGACAAAAAAAGACTGTTATTGAATTAAAGCATAGTTTAGATTTATTTATAAAGGGCATCAGTAATATTATCCCTGTTAATTTTTTTTTTTTTATTCTGTAAAGTAACATTTAACAACTTATAACTGACATTGCCCTGGATTTCATAATATTCTGCCAGTCAACGTACCTTACACTCTTTGTCCTTAAGTCTGCGTTGTTTTGATTGCATGTTATATATATTGCTCACTATGACATTGCCTTTGAAGGTCAATCAGCGCTGTAGAAGAAATCCCTGGTGGAACTCAGAAGAACAGCAGACAGAACCTGCTAAGTTTAGGTTCCACCTTCTCTGTGTCTACAAAGGACTACACAGCAGCTGCTGCATCACAGAAATGTTTGTTCCACAGGAAGGAAAAGGTGACTAATGAAAAATGTATAAGCTGATTTCAAAATGTAAATATCACTGAAGAGAAACCTCTCATCCAGTTGTCGTTCGCCAGTAATGTGCATGTTAGCTACTGAGTCATCTCATTAGATGAGTATTCTAAATTGACAGACTCCAAATTAGGCATCATCCAGTTGTGATAACTCAGAACTGAAGCCAGTGAAAGCTCTTGTCCATAAAGACTAAGGAAAAGCTTATAACTGAACCCTCTCTGACCTACATGTGTGATTTCTGCAAGCATCAAACACCATATGGACTGTTTGCATCAACCACTTTGACAGGAGCTTCAGAACAGCAAAAACATTTACAGAGACACTAAACCCAAACCCTTGTTGGTCAATGGTGCTCAAAGGACTTAATTTTTTTTTACAGTGTATGCCTAGACAGAAAGCATAGGCTAGCAGTGAGTGTGCCAAACTGATAGTTCACCTCGGGGTCTATTTCTCGTTGCTGATTTGTTGTAGGACTCTGTTAAATGGGAAGGATAATGTTTCTTTGGCAGTTGGATCACAAAAATCCAGAAATAACTAAATCACAGATAACTCCACGATGCTGCTGCTCGTGGAGTTTTCTGTTGTGGAAGTAGAAGGGACAGGTTTCAGGCTGGTGAGTCCTTTCATCTGTGCCCAGTTCACAAGCTCAGGTCTGACCAGTGGCAGACTTCGATCAAGAGTTTCAGTTAGATACTTTGGGAAATTATCTTTTTATATATAGATTTAGTTTTAAATTTTGTTAATATGATTTTTGCTGGGATAATAATTGAGTTCCTCAGAAGGAGTCCAGCAACTGCTACAACAAAGTGCTAGTCCCTCTTTATATGTGAAACAAAACTGCATTGTCTGTTGGCAGGACAATTCTAGTATTATGAAACAAACCATAAATTTTCTCAAAAAAAGATCTAAATGGGTGAAGGTACTAAGTCATGGAGAATGGTTGGAAGGATCCACCTCTTATCACTTGCAGACACTTAGTTATTTCTGTCTGCTTCAAGGATCTAAAAGTACAGATGAACCTGAAAAAAACACAGTATGCAAAATTCCTTGAGGTGGATGCCCAGCAAGAAAGAAAGCATCTTGTGCTGTTAAAGATCGTTGAACTTAAAGCAAAAGAATACAATGTCTGCTAATAAGAAATATCAGTCAACTTTCATTACAGGGAAGAAAGCAGCTCTGCATTTTAGTCTGGTTCCCTATGGAAGCTGGGATTATGAAATCACACTGGTGTGTATGTATGTGCGTACATGTCTGTGACCGTCCTCATAGTAACTTGGGAATCAAATGGGAAAAGGTCTCAGAAGAAATTAAGTTTCTGTAAGTGTCATGAAAATAGGTGCCTTGCAAAGGAATGGATCTTGGTTAAGTGCCTTTACAGAAGAAAAGGCTTCAGCGTGAGCTTACCCCTAATTAGACCCCAGAGAGTCCACACAGGAGAGACCCTGAACAGAGAGAAGTCTTCAATCAGCATTTGCACCTTATTAGACACTGAAGTCAATTAGCTACAGCATACAGATCAACAGACATGGGTTTCATTGGTACTGGTGTTTGGGATCTTCATTACATTAAGGAGACATTTATTAAATTTCTAAATTGCCTCCTTACAGTTTTCAGGTCCAGAATTTGTTATTTTATCTAGTGAACCACCAGTGACCTTACAGCTGCCTGGATCAATTGTGGTAAGTATGAACATTAAGAATTTAGAACTAATCTAGTGACCTTTTAGTTGGGGCTCTTTGTAAGTTGCATCTGAGTCCCAACCCCGTATGCTTGTCATGTCCTCCTCCCAAACCAAGTTAGGGTTCCTGCAGAGGTATTGAGACTTGAAAGGAGGTCATTTAATTCTCAGTGCCAAGTAGTTATTTCTGTTGGTGTGAAAACAGCTTAATTTATCCTTTGCAGCTAAGAATGCTCACTTTAGCACAAGACTTTTGAGACAAAGATTATACAGCAAATATGCAATGTGACATCTAGTACCAATGTAGTGGACTTCAGTTTGCAGGCACATCCTCTACCTTTCATTAAGATAAGGTAAAAGGCTGACAGCATACAGCAGTAAAAACGAGGCCAAAGAAAATTTGGAATTACCCTCAAATCTAGAATAACCCTGGTGATTGTAGAGTCTGAGTACGCTCAGCTATTTTGTTGCGATTCCCTGGGCTTTTTAAAAATTAGAAATGTTTGGGATATTAATTTATGAGAAGGGAAGCACTGTTATGACCAATTCCATCAGATTATGTAGAGACAGGAGACTAGAGGGCCTCAGTAATAAAATGCTGTGGAACTTGCATTGTTTGTACTTGGCACTCATTCTTCACTCTTTGTTACATGTTCTTAGACTAAAAAAGGGAAATCCTATTTGTCCCAAAGGGATCTCAATGTGATTCTACTCAACGGGCAGTGCCTTGAGGTGCAATGTGACATCAAGTCCAAGGCAAGAGATGTTTTCAACACCGTGGTGGCGTATGCAAACTTGGTGGAACATTTCTACTTTGGCTTGGCTTACCTGAAAGGTAATGAGACACAGCTAACTACAGTAACAGTTCTCTCCCTCAGTGCCCCTGTAGTCACTTTATTAATTAATTCCAGTAAGATCCTTTAAGATTCTCAGATGAAAGCAGGTCCAAAGCTTAAGCAGAAATAAGGTACGTTGGTTTAAACTGTACCGTACTGATGTAAAGCACGTCTACCCTAGGACTGTGCATCAGCACAGCCATACTGTTGCTGGCTGATATTCCCATGCAGAAAAGGCTGTGTCCCGGCCCTGCACTGGAATAATACTGAGCCATGTAGCTGCAGCAGAAATTCTGGGAAGCCTTGTACTGAGGAAGGCTGACTGTCTTTGTTCCTAGATATAAATTGGAGTACAGGCTCAGCTATTTCATCTGCAAGACCCACATCTCCCTAGCCCACTTCTGATGGCAAGCACGTCTGAGACACTAGGAAGAAGCATACCTTGTGCGTAGGGCATGAGGATTACAATGGGGTGCAGAACCTGAACGGTGAGCAGAGTGCAAGCCCCATCAATTCTTGAGTGATTCCATAGATAGCACACCAATCCAGCATCTAACAATTGTAATCCTAAATTACACACTAAGTGTTAATCTTAAATTCTCCATCAAAGAAGCAATAAGTTAAGACATGACACAGAGAAGTAAATCTCAACTGACATCCATGATCCATTTTATTTTTTATTGCTAGTGATGCACTGAATGAAGACAGCAGAACTTTTATCTACTGAAGTATCTCCAGACTTATCACAGAACGCACAATTCTCATTTCAGGTAAAGAATTCTTCTTTTTGGATGAGGAGACCAAACTCTACAAAGTGGCCCCAGATGGCTGGAATGACCAACCCAAGAAGAAAACCTCCATCATTAATTTCACAATCTTTCTAAGGATAAAATTCTTTGCCAACCACTTTAATGTTATCCAGTAAGTGCATGGTTCTGCTGACTGCAGGAAAACCAGTAGTATTTAGGGTGACTGTTCAAGGCTCCTCCTGTGTTCCTAATCCCTTTTGTGTTCCAGGCACAGCTTGACAAGGCATCAGTTCTACCTGCAGCTTCGTAAAGATATTTTGGAGGAGCGATTATATTGCAATGATGAGACTGCCCTGAAACTCGGCGCTTTGGCTTTACAGGCAGAGCTTGGCAATTATGCTTCTGAGGTGTGGATAAATAATACAATATTTCTCAGAGGTCTCTCTCAACAGCTTTTGCAGCTTTTGTTTGCCACATGGAGTTTAAAGAAGAAATGTGAATAGCACATAATTTCAGCTAAGTCCTTCAGTAATCCCATTTCAGATTTAATTTAAAAAATTACAAAATTTGCCTGATTAAGGAGCAGTAATGAGCCAGATGAATTTGGCAGGAAATATGGCAGAATGATGAAAGACTCTTGGCCCTTTGTAATTGATAACATAGCCAAGAAACTCCAGAAAATCTGTAGAAAATTTCCAACATAAGCACAGCTTGGATGTGCAGAGGGGCTTAAAGAGATTAGAAAACATGGAAGAGAAAATTAAATAAGCCCTCCAGAATTCACAACTATTTTGTGTGTAGGCTCAGATCCACAAGCTGCAAAGACAGGAAGGTTGCTTACGGTGTATCTGAACTAGTTATCCTGGTTTTGAAGTGTACAGAAAATACCCATTTATGTTCTCTGCCATATCTTCAGTGATATAAATCAGTGTAGCTCTATTAATCGAACTCTGAGTGGTCTGACCCATCTGGTCGGATCCGTCCCAGCATTGGGTCCCCCATTCTAGGTTGTACTGATGCGGTTGTAGCTGTCAGCTCTAAGTGCAAGACTGCAGGCAGGCCTGTGGGCCCAGCTCTTTTCTCCCCTCTGCACAGAGAAGTAGCGTGTGCTTTGAGCACCCGGCTGAGCACAGGTGCAAGAGGCACATTTGGCTGTCAGGGCACTAGCTGCTGTTCCCCATCTTTTAGGACATGGCAACAGGGTGACTTCAGCGCACGGGTCACCCTGAAAATGGAAATGCACCAAATAAGAAAAGTCAAGAAAGAACCGAAGGCTCCTCTCTTTTTTTTTTCTTTTCATTTTTTTCTCCCAAAGATGCATGGAAAGAGCTATTTTCGTGTTGAAGACTACATTCCAGCAAGCCGAATAGAGAAAATGACCCTGGCGTATGTACAACGAGAGCTTGCTAAATTACATCGTATGAATCGTTCCCTGTTTGAGGATGAAGCTGAACTAGAATTTTTAAAGGTAACTTGCCATAGCCCAAACATTATTTATTTATTTTGAGATAGAAATTCCATCTCTGTTTACCATTGTCTATTATTTGCTTCTTGCCTGATACAGTGGATTTTAGATTAGGTCAACGAGTTTGAATAGTCAACAAAAAACTCAGAATTTCATTCTGCTGTAGATGCTGTCACTCTAAATAACTTACATCACATTTACAGGGTAGGTTTCCTTTCACTGATAGATTATACAGGTTTAATGCACATTTCAGGGTATTTTCAACATCCTAAGGGTTGATGCAAATTTTCAGCATGTTACCGACAAGTCTGGGTTCTATATGATTATAAATACATGTACTGAATGTATTAGAGATTATTACAGAACATAGGAATAAGCACTTTCTTGACTTCTGAAACTGTAGCAGCTGTTCAGCCACTTTCTAAACAGGTACTGATTATTTGTTTAAAAATATCTGTGAACCCTGGAAGTGAGGAAGGAGTATCTGAAGTATTTTCTCACATGACTATTTCTCTAGGGCTCTAGGGGGTCACAATGATGTGGGATTTAATATTTCCCCTCCTAATTTCTCCTTCTCCCCCAAACTTTTCTGCTTTCCATCAAATGAAAAATATCAGGCATTAGACAACGGATAAATATCAGTAGCCATTTTGCTGCAGTACCACATGCTTTTATTTATAGCATCATTTTAGTTCAGTTGCTGTTTAATTACGTTAGTTCCTCATCTAGCACTGTCAGTGGAATTGAAGAAATAGATTGAAGCTTAGCGTTAATGACAGTCCCATCATGCGTGGCAAATCCAATGAAGAAAAGCAGCTTTGTTAGTATCTGTTTCAATGAATAAGTCTGTAGAAGGAGTCAACACATCATACAAAGTGAGAAAGACAGCCCCCATGGCAAGAACGTGCAAATTCCAAATATGAAAGGGATTAAAAATTAAAACCCAGATTCATCTAGTGATTATAGATGCCCCAGTTTTCAGGACCTGAACATTTATGCTCTGGATACTCTCTGAAAAACAGATCTTCTTAAAGTGTTTTATTTTGGTCACTGAAAATCTCTATTCATGGTTTAAAAGTCATTTGGGGATTCTACATTAGCTTCCCAGAAAAAAGAAAAGTTTTAGAATAAACTCATATTGATCTGCAGACAACAAAAGAGGACAGAAAACCCTCCTCATATTCCATAGTTCTGTAAAGGGTCTGAGTCACATTTTAACATTTTGTGGCCAAGTGCAGGAGGTAGAAAGACAAGTAACAACACCCAGAACCTCTGAGTGTGTTTCTCAGAGTATCCTTTGCAGTTAGATGGCGGGGCAGAAGCTGGCTCCTCAGTCCCTTGAAGTATAATTCTACTTAACTTTTTCACCCAGCAATGAGCACTGTGCAAGAAAGAAGCGACACCAAAGATCTGTTACTATAAAGTCTGGCACTGAAGGGAATTCTGGGGCAGTGAAATTCCCTGAAAAGTCACCACTATATTTAGGTGAGATACTTTGAGGTACAATTTAGCAAACCCTATAACTTAAGATTCTTGGCAATGGAGATTTATAATGTCTGATTTTAAAAGATGATAGCCATGAAGGAATGGGTATATGTACCTGAGTGAGTTCATTGCAGGCTGGGAGCTGTGGTGTCGCTGCAGTTAAGATTTCTAGTTGGTCATCACTATTGTAGAAAGGAAACCACCCAAGCCCATAACAATGTCAGAGTAGCCCTGGCACCGAAGTATTAGCACTTTTACTAAGATCATCATATTTGCTGTATCTCGCGGTTTCTGGGTTTGCTCAGGGAAACAAAGACACAGAAAAGCAAATGGAAAGAAACAAGGTTTAACAGTAGTCAAGCAGCATGAATCCAGCATGGATTTCTATTCAGAAATGCACACAAGTGCCGAGTACCTCAGCGCCACAGTAATGTTTAGATTATTGTGCAGGAAGCTACATAATCCTCCTACCTCTTCATATGAGGTGTGTGGGAAAGTGTTATTTCAATTTTACACATGGAAAATGAATGCATGTAATGGCTCTATGACATATCAAAGTAAGGTGATGATTCTGTGAGGCACTAAGTATGGAAATTTGGTAAGGCCTTCCAAACGTTTCTTGACAGAGTGAAAGAATATTCAGTAAAGGCACTCAAACCCATTTCCCCTCCCATCTACCTACATTTTCTCCCCATGCCTCTTTTTGAATAATGCATGGTAAATGCACTTTTTCTCTACAAGGTGACTCAGCAACTTCCTGAATATGGAGTGTTATTCTACCATGTGTCCCAAGAGAAGAAAGGAGCAGGAGGGGACATCATCCTGGGAATCTGTGCCAAAGGCATCATTGTGTATGAGGTCAAAAATCACACAAGAATTGCCAGTTTAAGATTCCAGTGGCGTGAAACAGAGAGAATTTCAGCTCATGTGAGTTGGAACCAAGTGAATCTCTTCTCCGCTCTACTACTTTACTCCCCTTCTGCCTGTCACTTTGATAAATTTATTGCATTCAGAGCCAGGATTAGACTCACTCTGTACAGGCAAGTCCTTTTGAAAACAGTCTAAAATCAAGGCTGGATCTGGATGTGGATCCCAAGATATCCAGTTCTTAGTGAGGTTTAGTTCTGGATTTTTTTTGCCAAGGCTGCAGTCAAATTACTATAAAACTGAATAACCTGGTGTTGACTATTACAGAGACTATGTCAAACCTTTTTATGGCATATTCCACATTCATTCCCCTCTCATCTTTACTTCTCTTTTCCTTTTCTTTTGTTTTCCTTCCTACATCAAGTCATAGGATCATGTCTCCCTCCTTCCAGATCTTATTATTCCCATCCTCATCTCAGATGTCAGTATATTGACATCTGTTAACACACCAGTATTGGTGACAAGATTGTGACCCTTTCTAAATGATATTCTGCCATCAGAGGAGTATCAACCTACCATCATACAGCGTAGGTGTCAACCTGCATCACACATTTCCCAGCCTGTTTGCTCTCCCAAAACGGCCCTTCTGCCCCTTGAAGATGTTTTCATTTTCACATTAAATTGGTTTAATCATTTTAACATCTGTAGGGCCAAATTTTGCCAGTTCTGTCAACCTGCTCCCAGTGCAGTCAATGTCCAAAGGCTCTTGACTTTTGGCATAGGGCAGTTATGATCCCAATGACAAACACCTCACTAACAACTGTTGAAATTATGATAGGCATTTACTGCACCCAAAAGGCATGCAGCCAGGCATAAAAACAACTGGACAAAACCAACAAGATTATACAAATGAACTTTCGATTCCTCAGTGTAATGACTGATATATGAAGCAAACTGTGCTTTTTTTTGCCCTTTAGAGAAAAAAATTCATGATTGAAAGCAGCTTCAGTGGCAAGAAACACACCTTCACTACTGATACAGCAAAGACATGTAAATATCTACTGGACCTCTGCTCTGCCCAGCACAAATTCAATGCACAGATGAATTCTAGGCAACTTCGGCAAACTTCATCAGGTGAGGTATAAATGCACTTTTGTTATTCAGGCCATAGGACAAGGTTAGGTTTTAGGAAAGGTGCATTCAGTGAAGCTGAGAATCAGAACCTGCCACATCAGTTTCACTGTGCTTCAGTTTCTCATGTGCAGAGCAGAAAATAATGTCTCCTACTTCACTGGAAGTTAGAGGTGTGTAAGTCTAATTTAGCGTGTGCACGTGAGTGTATGTGTGCAGGGGGTGGAGAGGTGTTCTCTGATAGTAATAACTATATAGCTAAACTCAGATTTGAAAAAAAGCATGATTACACTTCGCTTCAGGAAACCTGCTGAGAATTCTGAAGAAACATATCAGGCTTACCCCAAATGTAACCTGATAAATGGTGCACACAAAGAACAACTATAGTAGTGCTCAGATATGCTGGAGCTGAATTTAGTTAACTGGTTATCTTTGCATAAGACAGGGGTTCAACCCTACGGTTCAGTCCCAGGACAAAACCACCAAACCAAAAGCACGTCAGTTACACCCACTCAACTATGTAGCTGCTAGCTGCTCTTATCTTAGGTTTTGCCATGTCTGTAGAAGATATGACTATTACCTCCTTAAACTTCAGATTTTCCATAGTTTCTAAGACAAGGTTCTGCTCAACCCAGGGCAGTTACATAGCACTTCTCACCCACGGGTCTCAGCACGCTCTGTAAAGATGGGTGAGGATCATTATGGGGAAATTGAGGCACATAAGAAATAACAGCCTAAGCTGACCACTGTCATCGCTCTTTACTTCAATGGAGCAACATGGATTTTCACTAGCTGAGCATGTGTCCTTTGCCTTGAACAGAATCATCATCATTTACAACTACTGAATATTTGACCCAGTGAGTCATAGCAGGAGAATCAAGTGTCATGCCTCATCCGCTGGGATACTCTTTCCGCTAGTAAAACTGTGAAAGTGTTGGCAATGAAATTATATCATGGGATGTAACAGGATGATTGATGTATCGATTCTTTCCCACTAAAATTATTTAATGAAAAGTGAAATTCCACGTGCACAAATTTGTTACCACGGAAAAAGGCATGACATTTAGATTCAAGGATGACATTTAGGTTCAAGGCACCTTTTGTTGCTTGGGCTCCTGTAGCTTCTGTGGTTTCAAACATAACTTAGTGAGACTGTGATTTGTAGCATAAAAATGAGTCCTAATAGTGAATCTTAAAGTTTCCTGTGTCACATTTGCTTGTGGCAATATTTCTTAATAAAAATTACTACGTTCTATATATAAGAGAACAAAAAGATTGAGAGCTAAGAAAATTATAACCCAGGTCCTGATTACAAGCACCTCAAAACCCACAGAAACCAGCCAGACTTAACAAGCCGTGTGACTGCAGTTTCTGAGGTTCGGTGTGTGCTTGCTGTCCCAGAAAAAAAGGCTTTGTGAAGTCAGTGACAGACAGTAGTTCAAAATGCTGCCTTTGCCACCACAGTGAGACTGTAAGAGATTATAAGGCCCTTTCTGCCTGAGGGAGACTCTTCCTTCTGCTGCACTGTTCAGATGTATAAGTCACCATCTCTTCAAAACTTGCTAGCAGCCCCCTACTTTGAAATCACCATGGCAACTCTCAGACTGCGCTAATACTGTGGACAGTTAACCCTTCCGATGCCTTAACAAATGCCCCTGATCAAAGTCACTGAGGAAAGAGGGAGCCTAGGTAGTGTTCTAGAAAGTTGCATTCAGGCTAATATTTGTTAGGAAAACACACGGGAGGTCAGCTGTCATGTACAAGCAGAATTAAAGCCCATATTTTTGCTAGTCCGTATTAAGCACGGTTCTTGTTTTGCTTTCTGACATGTCTCCAATTGCCCGCTGTCCCTCCCTCCTTCAAATCCTCTCTCCAGCCCACTAGTTGAGAACCTAAATAAATTAACAATGCCTCCTCCAGCACTATCTTGTTTCAGGGAAATAAAATCTTTTGAGAGGATAGATTTGTATATAGCAGAGCCCAGATGTCATTAAGCGAGTAGTAGATTTCACACAGAGGTGGAAAATTGGATAGCAAGCATTGCCACCAAGATGGTCCCCTACTCAACTTTACTTGTGCAAATCACTCAGAGCAAACAGCCAGCTCCTTGGCCCCTCTCTGAACTTAAGACAGCATGTGTTATGAGAGCGCTTGTCTTCTCAGATATACGTATATTGGAGTGCTGGGCCTGTGAAGGATGGGAAACTACCAACCTGGCTGTTTCAGTCTCTGACAGACAGATATTTCTCATACACCAAACATTTACAAAATATACTTTACAGAGATATTCAGGTTTAAATTATACAGGGTTGTACATTTCATCTTTGTGAAAAGTGAATTTGCAGTATAATTCATAGAAATGAAATCTAAATACATCTATGAAAGAAATGGATTGGAAACCCTTTCCACTCACTCCAAGGCCTAGATATCCTCGAGGATACGAAAACAAATGTACCTGTGATGTCAATCTTTTTTGCTGGCATGTTCAAAAGGTTAGACAGAAAGCAGCTTTGAGCTTAAAAAGATAATATCAGTGGATTTATCTTTCCTTCCTCCTCCCCTCTCCCTTCTTATTCAGAGGAAAGTAAATTTATGGAAATGGAGAAATCAAATTCCGCATATGCAGCTCAGCGTGAACACCTTGCCTTGATTCAGAGACTGTCTCGTTCAGAGAATGTGCTCTATGGAGCAAATCTGGAAAACCTTTCTGCTGGGATGATGAGCAAATCTTGTGATAACCTCAGTGTGGAAACCAACAACAGGACTAGAAACAAAAGCAATCTTGGCAGGTAAGGTATTCTTACACACTCTAAATGTGTGTAAGAATATTCAGTCATAGACTATATCATTGCAAACCACTATGGTAAACTGTGAGGCAGACTTTTTTTTTGCAAAAGGCCCTGCAGGCCTGGGGCTCCATGGTGCCAGCAGTAGTGCAAACACAGGCAGGAAGCTAACAGTCTAACAGATAAGAACTTGAAAGGGAGTGACATTTACATTTGTACCAGACTCGGGAATGAACTACTTATTGGGTTATGGAGAAGGATAAAAGTAAGGGAGAATAAAAGTAAAATCTTTAATGTCTGTGTATCTTCTCTGGAAACGGCAGTATGTGAACTGAATAGACAGTGGAAGCTGTTTTTGAGCAGGTCTTACCTAATTGATTTCTCCATGTCTAAAAAACAGTGTAAGAACTTCTCCCTTTTCATTTGCATTGGTACATTCACCAGTGTAGGCGGTTACTATAGCTGCACACAGTCTCAAGGCCTTTGATGAATTCTAGTGCCTTTTAGAATACTAAGAGTTAGAACAGAGCCAAGAAGAACATGAACTACCAGGAAACTTTCAGACGTGGTTTTGTCTCAATGGACGGCAGGGCTAAATGAATCATGCGGAGGCTATGCTGTGTTTTCCTGATGCCTGCACTCAGCTCAGAGAAAAACACAGGGGGAAATCAGTTGTGATGCGAGTGGTCTAATGGCAGCTGTTATTTGGAAGCAAATGCTGGCAAGGATGAACTACCTCTCCCCTACAATGAAATGTGGCCCAGAAATCAGAATACTCATTGAAAGGCTATAAACATGTGCATTCCCAACTTGGCTCTGACAGACTAATGACAACGAAGAGTGCTAAATACCATTGCTGATTTGTTATTGTAACGCAGTCTTAATTTCCTGCCGTGCAGATCCACATCAGGGCTATCCCAGTCAGAAACGCACATCAATTTGAATGGAAAGCAAAGGAGTTATGACTACCTCTCTATCCACTCAACTCAGAACACAATCAGTGGTGAGTATAATAATCATAAAGAGAGACAGTACCCTTCCATATTTATTGTTTCAATAACAGGAGACCAAAATATATTCTACTTACAGATTAAAGAATATCCTTTTGCACTATCTAGTCCTGGTAATTAACCCAGAGTTTAGCAAGACAAGCTGTTTTCTTCTCTTTCACTCCTGCTTTCCATCAGGATCAGTGATAAGGGACTTCATGATAAAATTATTCTATCAATGGTGCCTAATGCTCTTCAGAGACGTAGTTCAATACACCCAGGACTCTCGCATGGGGCAATATCCCTATGCTCAGAGGTCATAATTTGGTTTGCAATTGAGATCTACAACTCAATAAATAATGCATGAGACAACATAGGGTCTAGGTCCTTCCTCTGTTCTTGCATTTGCATGACACTAACTGGAATAAGAAGAACTGGACACCTAATTTTCTAACAGAAGCCATGCTGCATGCACGCAGTGAGCTGATCTATGGAATACAAAGCTATGATTATTTGGTTAGTCCATTTTAAAATTAGAACTGTACTTTAAACACACTGTAGCAATTGCACAATGTTAAGTAGTGTTAACACTACAAAAGTCACCATCACAATCAGTGCTGATTGGATTGCACCTACAGAGCCAAAAGGGCCCACGGGGCCGAAGGCTAGAGTTTCCAAAGGAACCCATAGGAGATTTTGTGTCCAAATCACCCTCATGTTCAATGGGCACTACATGTGTGACTCTTTAGGTATTCTAATCTTAATAAAAACGTTGCAGATAAATGTGTGCTTTCCCAGAAACGAACATTATAGGAAGAGTTTACACAGCTACTGTACATACACCTTTCTAAATAATGCAAATTTCCAAACACTTGTTTGAGCTTCCTTCCTGCATTATATTGATTCAGAAGTAATGGTATGGTTGAAAACAAGGACAAAATGTATTTTTAATTTTTGAAGCCCCAGTTTTGCATACTATATGAATCTACTGTCTCCCTGCATTAATCTGCATTTATTCTAGCTGTTTTGTTTCTGCAGCGCCTGGATCACCAGCCATCCAAAAGGAAGTTTTGCTAAGTGGTCTAGAAAGAGAAATCATTTGTGTCAGCCTAAAACGTGACCCTAAGAATGGATTTGGTAAGTAAGGAACGTGAACGTTATATTTGTTACTGGGACTGTCATATCCTGGTGCTAACACTGATACTTGCTGACTCAAGCTGAGCAAGCCTGTAACCTTCTTCACCTCATTTATTCTTCTTATAGAATAAGACTACTAATCTTTGGGAAGGACTTAGAATTTTCGAGACTGAAAAGGACTAAGCGCATAAATCAAGACCACAGTTTTTTCAGAGGATTAACTAAGGCCACAGAGGTCAAGGGGACCAAGTGCTAAGAGTAGAATGAAAGGAACAAGGGTCTAGTTTTGTATCTGAAGTACATGTGCAGTGATTTTATTTATCTTAGACCTTACACAGGGGGAGACGATGTTCCGCAAACCTTTCGGGTATTGCCTGTGGGAGTGCAAAATGTGTACACAAGCTTAACGTGAATGTTTCCTGACTTTTGGATTCTTATTTGGGTAACATTTTTGTTATATAATACACTATCGCAGTGTATCCTGCTCTTGTGGATGAGTTCAGAGGACCATCAGGTTTCACAGCTGACCATTAATACAATCAAAGATCAAGTTTCTAAATGGTGCAGGTCTGTGTGGAATATCCTGATCCCAAACCCAACTATTCTACCAGAGAGAATAATATATTCTGCAATAGGCAGAATATTCTGAGCTAGGATAGTGAAACTGATCTATTTGACAATAGATTTAATTTTGTTAGATACCTCTTACATATCCATTAAAAGTTGACATGGCCCACCTCAGGGGCCCTAGACTACGTGATGTAGAACAATGTTCAAATTTATCTAATGAGCTTTTAAACCGTTTTCCTCCTGCAGGTGTTAAATACTAAGGTCCACATAGTTTATGACTCTTGTAAGAAAGTAGTTGGAATCTTTAGAAGTCCCAAGCCAGGAAAGAATTCTTATTGAGAAATTATATTTAAATAGCCACCGAAGTCAACAGCACACTTTAATTACAACGTGAGTTTAAAGCTCTCCCAAATGAAGTCCTTGATGCCATGTAAATCAGAGCTCCCCATTCTCCATACCATGTATAAAATTTACGCCATTGGAGTAAGAGCCTTTTGTGCTCCTAAGGTTCATCTTTTCTAATACTGCCAGTGTCTCTGCATTCTCATGCTATCTCATTTTTGCAGGTTTTGTAATTATTGGAGGAGAAAATGTAGGAAAATTAGACCTCGGTATCTTTATCGCTTCAATTATCCCTGGGGGACCTGCAGACAGAGCTGGAAATATCAAACCAGGTCATTGTCCTTAGTTTTTAATTAGAATTAAAATACTTTCATGGTTTAAAGTTAGCTACTCTGGATTTATTTCCTTATTTAGATGTGCTTTGTCTTGTTTTTATCCTTTTTTTTTTTTAAGGAGGACGACTCATCTCTGTGAATAATATTAGTCTCGAGGGCGTTTCATTTAATACTGCAGTTAAAATCATACAGAATTCTCCCGATGAAGTGGAGCTCATCATCTCTCAACCCAAAGGTATAAAGGCAAATGCCTTTGCTGGCTATGGAATGCTAATAGTTAACTCAGGACACCGGTATTTATTAGGCAGTGGGATGTAGTAGTACTTTCTTGCTACTCAGTGCCAGTTACAATAACCGTAGGCTAGCAGTGAAAATAGTCAACTTCTAGCAGGTATCACGTGATCTCTGTTCTACAGTCAGTGTGAAAAAATCTATTATGGGCTGCATTGCTGGATACCAAGGGAATTTTGGCATTTCTTTCTCTGATAGAGTCATAGTCCTCTGCAGTGACGAAGCAAATACATTTCTCCGCGCTTATAATAGCAGCGCTCCATTTTACAACGACTGACTCATTTTATAGATCTGATTTCACAACCAGTTGATGTAGGAAGTTACTTTGTCCTCCTGTGCTGAGGTATAATAATATTTGCCTTCAAGTTTACTTACTGTTTGCATTCAGCAATGTTTTATTTTGGTATGGCTTTACAGACATGTATGAAGAAGGATTAAATGAAGAAAAGAATCTATCAAGAGGAAACAGCACTAGTGGATCTGAGATCTCTTGCGTAGACAGTGGGAGAAAAAAGATTCAGGATTGTCATACAGCTCTCCCCAAAGAACAGGACATAAATATAGACGAACTTGAGAAGGCTCTTTCCTGGAGTTTAGCACCAAAATTGGGCACTAGGATTCCAGTTCCTTCAGCTGATAGCCTGGATGTGGAGGTAACTCAGATTTTGATGCTATTCAGTAATACTATGCCCAGAATGTGTCTTTAAAACATGCCAGCTATATTAAGAATGGAAAGCAACCGAGAAATTAAGAAAATGAGGAAAGGAGAAGGAAAACTTTGGAAGATGTTGCTTGTTAAATTACATTGGAAATGTCAAAATGATAGACATGTCTAGAATATGTGAAAAAATGGGGAAACCGTTCCACAAAATGTTATTAAAAAGTCTCCTCCCTTTTCCAGTGGAGGTACAAAATTTTGATTATTTTTTCTTGCAATTTCTTAAGTTTTCAACCAGGCACAGAACAGCAACATTTTGTGTCTAATTTCCTACTATTAGACAGCCTCCCTATCTATACTCAGCTTATGCACATTTAGACAGATAATATTTTGAGTAACATTAGTGTAAGCTTGAAATAATGTCAGGGATATAAATGGTACCACGCCAGGCTTACAGTGACATCAGGATCAAACCCTTTATATCTTCTGGAAACTCTCTCCTTTTTTTTCTTCCTTTCCCCCCCTTTTTTATTGAGATGCTGTAGTCTCATTGATGTTTTTATTTTTGAGACAGGAAGCTGATTCTTTGCACTTACCATCTCCATCTGAAGCCAATTCAAAGGAAATCTATACTGTGGAGCTTGTTAAAGAAGACGGGACTTTTGGAATCAGTGTGACTGCAAGTGTTACTGTTAACCTTTCAGTGTGTCTGTCAAACTGTTACGTGACCAAGAAACCCATGGGGAAGTGTATTTATGTGGAACAAAGATAGAAAACAGGCTGATAACAAAAACCGTTAGCATGGCATGTTTCAAACCCAAGTGTCCAATTGACTGACAGAGAAAGCATAAAGTACGGGCACTGCTCATTCCCCAGTTCTTGCCCACAGAACCTGTGAAAGAAGTGTGCCGGCATAAAGCATGTGGCAGTACAAGCCCTTTTTACCCTTACTCAAGTTGAGAACAAGACCTACCACTGGAAGTGGAGTTTGGTCAGGAAGGGATATAGCCATAGCCTCTAGAAAATGCAGCAATGCAAGGAATTGCCCAAGTCATGACTGGTTTTGCTGCTCCCCTGGAGCTCCTAGAACTCCAAGGCTGTGTCTGCACAAGTGGATTACGTAGGACCATGGCATGGGCTCAAGCAGTGGCCCACAGGCACTGTTTAATTGTTGACAGCCCCCGATATGGCTTTGACCTGTGCCTCAACAAGCGGTATAACAGAAGCCATCCCATGCTGTGGGGGCTGAAAGTTTAGCTGTATGGACTCAGGATAAGCCATGCTTCTTACTCTGAAGGCCAGAGAAAGGCCCCTAGCTGATTTTATTTCCTAATATAAGGAAATACAGTTCTCCATATATTTAGAGGACCAGAGAAGGCAGCAGTGAAAACTATCTGCCACATTTGAATAATAATTCCTTGTCCTGGCTATCAAAGCTGAATTTATCCCCTCCAGGCTGAGATGTCTTTGCAGTCCTTGCTGAAATTGAGTGGGAAGCAACAGCCATCTCACTGCCTGCAGAAGAAATTGAGGACTGCTTTTTCATCTGAATTTGGCCAGGGGATGTAGATGGGCAGAACGTGATTCTTAGGTTAATCTGGAATTCCTCTGAGCTGTAGGCTCTCAAGTGGCTGCACAAGTTCAGGTCCATGGTTTATGTATTGTCTGAAAGGTTTGTAATTGCTGAATGGCTATTGCATAGTTTGGAAGCTGGGCTAGAGACTGACTGAAAGAGGCAACCCCGTTTTTATGTTAGCATAGGGAAAAATTTATGAACATTTAGCAAATGTTTTTATATAGCCACGTAGAAATGCATTGCATTTTCCTGAGAAAACAAAACAAGATTACTGCCTGGGGAAGTATATTACAACTAGATGGGACTTTGGAGTAACATCCTCTTTCCTTTTTTTCCTATTTAAAAAAAAAAAAAAAGTAATTCCTGAAGCAGTTGCTTTGCAATGCGTGTGTAAGTTGTTTTGATTTTTATCACAGGAAGAAGATGTGATGACTCCACTCTAATCTGTGGGCATCTGTTTTGCAGGGTGGAATTAACACTAGTGTGCGTCACGGTGGGATATACGTGAAGTCAATTATTCCCAGGGGACCAGCAGATAAGGATGGACAAATAAAGATAGGTAACATGTCTGGCAATAAAACTCTGGGCTGCAGAGCTCAATGTTAGTGTGGAATGCTTGCCACAGGGACAAGGAATCATATTTGGGATTGGAGGTCATACAACTGTGAAATGTAATGTGCAGCCCATCGTTCCTCGGCCTGTCCCTGTACTACACGTAGATATCCCACTGAAAAACCAGGAGCCTCATACCAACATTGTACAGTTACTCTCTGTAGCTGCGCATCAGGCTAGCGACTCTGACAGCTACTTCCAGTGTTGCTGTGATAACCAGATGCTATCACTGCCCTTACGTACAGAATACCCTGGTATGTTTTAAGTGCTACTTATAGAATGCTGTACAACAAGCAGTATTGCTTTCGTACAAAGTAACATAATTTGACACATGTAAGCATGAGGATCTATTGCAGCACGGGCAGCCTCAAGGTTTGCACCCGTTGAACTTGAACATCAAAGCAACTTGACCCTTTTTTGTTTGTTTGTTTGTTTTCTTTTGCCTCAGGTGATCGTCTGCTGGAAGTAGATGGCATCAGCCTCTGCGGCATCACCCACAAACAGGCTGTGGAACACCTTAAGAAATCTGGCCAGGTTTGTACAACAGCAGAGCTCAATAAGAAACCCAGCAGAATAAACTGCACTTAGTATGAAGCACAGTAGCAAAGCTGGGCCAAAAGAAACTTCCCCCCCCACCCCATCCAACCCCGTTCTCCTAAAAAGAAAAGTAAAAAGACTTAGGGCTCACTGTGTACTGTGTAACTGGAACCTGTTCATCATTGTTTTAGATTGCCAAGCTGGTTCTAGAAAGGGGAAACTACCAATTGGCAGAGCCGTGCCTGACTGCTAGCGACAGAAAGGAGGACCAATGTGCAGTTGTTTCTGTGGCAACATCCTTCACAGATGGCACCAAAGGCTACTGCTTTTTGACAGATGGTGAGCGATAAAAAAGGAACTCAGGGTGACTTCTCACAATGTGCAAGAAAAGAATGAATGAATTCTGTGAAATTTCTGTGGGTTGGAAGGAAAACTGCATGCCGAATAAAAATATAATGTGCAGTATTAATGGCATTGTCAAAAATCAATGCTGAACAAAATATTTCTGATGTACTTAGAGTTACAGTTGCTAGATATAGCTGAATTTATCCTAGGCATAAATGCTGTCTCTCTCAGCCTTCGTGAGATGGGGCTGGCAGGGGACGTCCCTCTCTGTACTCTATAGCGCTCTCGGGCAGGAAGCAGCTGTGCTGATGTTGCCAGTCTGTTACCCAAAGAGAGCACCGCCAGCACAACTGCTGATGCTGTGTCAGTGATGAAGCTAGGGCGAACTGCTGCCCCAGGGCCAGGACTGGAGACTGCCATAGCTTCATTTCTTAAAAGCGGAAGATTCAGAGCTCGCTTTCACTGAATTTAGCCAATAAATAAATGCTGTATCTTTTACTGTAAGGCTGTCTCATAAACACTAAGTCTGAACTGCCTTTCCCGTGAGGCAGTTACTCCTGTACATTGTCCCTAGCAGAATGGGGTTCAGCTGCAAATGTGGTATTTGGGAAAGGGCTGGTCTCTTGCTCTTGTCTGGAAAGAGCAGTAGCTCTGATTCTAGCTTATGCTGGTTAGTTCAGGACCCAAATTAACATCAGGCAGCTACAGAACAGTAAGATCTATCCAACACTTACAGAAGAATGTCAGAAAAGGATAGCATTTGAACCTTTTTATGTTGGTACAAAAGGCTTCTTCCTTTATGGGCTTGTACCAGATGGCACAAAGTCTGTGAACACACGGTGGAATAGAATCCAGTTCTCCCATTCAGCCTGTGCAATTTCAAGGGCTCACATAAGTTAAAGGAACACCAAACCCTTCTTTTGCCATTAGTATCAGCAGATTCACCCCTGCAGCACACAGGGAGAAGGTCTGCTGAGGGTATAATTTACATCAGCTCCTTAGGGGGTACATACACCACGGCTCCCACTCTTTTTCCACTCCCTGCTTTGAACAGATAATACATTTGAAGTGAAATTGACAAAGAATTCTGGAGGCCTCGGCTTTAGTGTACTGCAAATGGAAGGAGATGCTTGTGAACACCTTGGAGGAGCTATTACCAGGATCAAAAGACTGTTTCCAGGGCAGCCAGCTGAAGAGAATGGCGAAATTGAAGTCGGAGACATCATTTTAGCTGTGAATGGGAAACCTATTCAAGGACTCTTGTATCAGGTACCAGGCAGTACTGTCACTGGGCCTCTGATGGGTAACACGTTAATAAAGACAATGGGATGAAACTGCATTTAAACTTAATTATCACCAGAGGGGGTCAGAATTTGCATATAATGAATCTGATTTCTATGTAGGATTCTTCTCTAGAATTCTTATGGACACTTTCCTTCCTAACAGAATTCTTACAGAGAATTTCTTCCGCGATTTAATTTATAACTTTCTACTACTGATGCACAAAGCCTATTGTTAGATGCACACCAGTTGTTAATCAGTTGGAATCTTTGTTGCTGTTATGCATAATTGGAACATTTTTCCCCTGTGGTCATTTGTGCTTTGTAATGTCATGCTACATACCATGCCCCAGATTCAAATCTCTACCAGGTGAGGTAAATCCAGTGTAACTTTTTTACCAGGAATAAGAAATTCTGTACTCACATAAAGAAATGAAATGGTAAAAAAGGACTACATGTGGATTTATTTTTTTCATCGTAATCTTTTCACCTTATGAAAACCCCTGAGTTTTGTATATGAATATGCATTGAATAGATAAGTTTGGTAACAAACAGAAATGATGAAATCATGCAATTTTCCCACTGACAGGTCATTCGTATCATTAAATAGCTAGGGCAAAGGACGAGGTGCTGTACGTCCTAGACACCTGGCGGGGTGCTGTAACTGTACTCCATCGGTTTTTTTCTGACCCGGAGTCTGTCCTTTTCCAGCACTGCCTTACTCTCTGACGTACAGCCTTTTTACTCAGTTTGTGCAGAGGGGAAGACGGGGTGTTTTGGCCTACGGCATTTTTTTTTTCCCCTCTCGATTAAGTATTTCAACTCCCACTATAGCTGAAAGCTGAATGCCACTGAATAGATGTTATGTCAAGGAGGGGCTCTGAGAAAGTCTACCTTTGGTTATGTCAATATGGCAGTCTGCGGAGCTATGCTGATATAATTGACTGAAGATGTGTCCCTGCCACACGCAGTTTGAATGCATTTGTCTGAAAATGCTGTTTTCTTCAAGAAAAGAAAAATAATTAATTTAAACCTACGTGTCTGTTGGTGGAACAAGAGTTTGTAAACAGAACTGACTTTACTTTAGATACACGTTCACATAAAAACTATGGTCCACTTATATGACAATCATACAGTAGTGAATTTTGTCCACCAGACACTGCTGAGAGGCACAAATACTAGGAATTTGGCATTCACAGTAAAAATTTTCTCCATCCCAGTTGGTAAAATGACATGTACTACAGACTGTGTTCCATAAGAAATCTAATATTACTTCTTCCTGCTTAGGATGTCCTGCACTTGTTGCGAGGAGCTCCTCCAGAAGTCACACTACTAATTTGCAGACCACCAAAAGGTGTTCTTCCGGAAATAGAGCAGAGCGCCCTGGTAAGGCAAAGGTTCTGTCAGTAAACTTGCTTCTGTAAACCTGGAAAAAAACACTACTACATTTTCTATCCAGTCTTGAACAAGGCAACCTTCCTTTTTCTCCAAGGCCCTCTATTCCGTTTCTTTCCCTTCTTGGCTTCAACTCAACTTCTAGAGTTCAATTGATTCTTCCTTAGCAACCAAAATAATATCAATCTGGCAGATGTGGGACATGTTTATCCCAGTCCAACAACTTTTGAATTGCAGTGCTGTCATTGGAGTCAAACAGCACATACCCAAGCAGATCTTCTAGTGACGCTTTTAAAAATGCTCCGCTAGATCCTCAGCCAGCAACTGCAGATATTCTCAACTGCAGCTGTTATAACTTGTGGGCTTGAGGTAGCTATATTACTCCCAAAAGTGAGAGGAAAATAAAGACCTTTTCCTATCCAGGCTACCTCTTAATAAACTTAAATAAATGAAATAATGGTTTCAACTGGTAATTCAGCTTCTTATTGATAGTTAGCAGAATCTGGGGGGGGGGGGGGGGAAAAAAAAAAAAAAGCAGAGACTAAGACAGTGCCATTAGCCATTAGGTGTGCTAGTATTATTATTCCTGCTTCTTGAACACAACTCATGGACGCATACACAGGTACTTGTATAATGAACATGCATTTGCATTACTCTTGCTCCATGCAGAATGGCCCACTCATGGTTCCTGTCCCACCAGGATTTATAAGCACTGTCCATGGCCAGACAGAAATGACTGTCAGGACCACCTCCAGATAACAAACTGGCTCCTGTTGCTCTCCTGCAAGGTGCCCTTGGCCGATTTCTATGCTCAGTTGCACAGGAGTCAAATCTGGAAGCCACTTCTACACAATGAAGAGAATATAGACACAAAGTTGAGGCACGATATGAAAAGAAATAAAAAGGGAACACCTCTAGGAAAGAATTCATTGGGAAAAGTGAACTTGTGTAGTAGTTCCCTGGCTGGAACTCCTGAAGAATGTGGAAGATGAGCATAAAGACAAAACAGTTATTTAGTGAGAGAGTACCTCCCTGTAGTTTTTCCCTCCCTTCCAGCTACCATTTGGTATTTTCACATTCAGATGCTTATTGATATTGCCTCTTCAAATTATTTTGTTCTTAAAGGAAAGAAGATGGGAGATAAAAAAGGAGTTACACTAACCTTTCTGTTATTTTGATAGACTCCAGCACCATCTCCAATTAAGGAGTTTGTGGCAGAAATGCCAGGCAGTACAGAGGTAGGAAATAGTATCGATCAGTCTACCAGTGATGGAGGTAGCACCTCTCCAGACCTCGAAGACTGCCTGGATTCTCCAGTGGCAACAGATTTCAGTGAGCCTCCTGAAGAGGACAGCTCAACTTACGAAGAGCAGGAAGCTGAGTTTCAAGAGAAGCCCATACAGAAACTTATGACTCCCAGGGAAAATTTCTATAAGCATCTTCAGATGTTTCATCAAGAAGCTGCCAGTTCTGAAGTCTTCCACTCCCTAGAGGAAGAAGTGAAGCAGAACTGCTACTCACCATGTGAATTTGGATGGGCCAAAAGGTAAGGAATACTGAAATCTGCTCTGCAGCCTTTCCTTCAGCTCTTACAATTTTGAAAGTTAATTGCTTAGGTTTAAGTACAGGGCTATCTGCTTCTAATCACTGCTGATTACTGAAGGTTTTGTTTTACCATTTTATTCTGACTATCCTAATCTGCTGTCTCTACTTACTCTCATCTCACTAGAATTTTGCACAAGTCTGCATTGCAAGACAGTTGTATGAGTGTCGCACTACTGTAACCATTTATGCTATTCAGCTGAAGCTGGCTGCAGTCTGAAATCAGTGGAAATACTCTTGTTGACTTAAATAGGAACCAAAGACTTTATTATTTGTTATATGATCTTTTAATTTCAATTTTCTCAGAGTTGACTTAAATAGGCACCAAAAATTTCTTTCTTATTGTATGATCTTTTAATTTCAAATTTTTTCAGAGAAAATAAAAAAAACTCAGAAGACAAACTGTGATCAAGGAGAAAAAAAAACAGGTTATTTTCCAGTCTTCAGAAGCCAATGGAAGCCCTGAGCCAGAGGAGTTATAAAATAAAATACAGAACAAATGGACTCAGCCTCCTTTTACACTTTTTTGGATACACCAGACACTGGCACACAGAAAACTATCCATTCCATTTTAATCAACTTTCCCAGTGCAAAAGACCATAAATTATCAGAACAGAAAGGATTGGTGGAAAGACAAGTTAAAGGTCTTATAGAGACCTTTAAATTACTTCAGTAATTTTGTCTAGAAACTAATTTCTATTTTTCCACACAGTCACTTGAAATCCTTTTGTTACCCTTTACATTCATCAAGCACAGAACCAGACAGTCAGGGATTCCAGTCTCTGGGGATTCACAGCACAAGCTGACTGCAAGTCAAGTGGGACCGTAATGGTAATTCATACTTTTAGCTCCTCTCTCTTGAGAGGAGAAGCTTCATTCACATACGTGAGTGAAGCTCCTGCTTACATATATGCTTCTCTACTGCTGAGAATAAAACCAGCAGAAATATGTCTGCAGCAAACATATTTGCCAAGAGATACAGTTTCAACAAAACTAAGTTTCTTGTGGGAAAACATCAATTCCAAGAAAAGTTTTGGATTCTTCCCAAGAAGGAAGTTCTGAAATAAATGGGGTTTTTTGGTACATTCTTAGTATCATTATTTTCAGCTTTTGCATTTTCAAAAGGCAGCCAGAGCAGTTTAACACGGCATTTTAAACAATATTTTAAATGTAATCTCAGTTTAAATGATACTTTCAGCTGAAAACATATAAAAAACCCCAGAAGGACATAGTCATTAATGAAGGAATTCCTTTTGATTAATGAAGAAATTTCTTTTCTTCAGATTGCTCAAAACTTTTCATGCAAATATAGAAATCTTTTGATATGAATTTTAGAAGTCCCCTGCTCAGGGTTTCACATGGAAAATTCCTTTCACTCTTCTTCTCATTGCCACCAATATGAGTCTTTGAAAAAGCTGCTTTGAAAAACTTTAACCCGTGGTTTTCCCCTGTGAAGTCCAGGTGTAGGGGTCACAAGACTCCAAAAGAAAGTCGAGCATGTCAGTGGAGCTCGTGTATGAGCCGGCAGGACCAAGACTCGTGTTATTTCCCATGGTGATGTAGAGGTGGGCTAGAAGCTGTGCTATGATTAAGCCACTGCTGGCTCATTGCCTTGAGCTTGTGTAGCTCTGCCGAACACCTTTCATAGCCTTTGAAGGTCAGTCAGCACTCCACTAGCACGTGACAGCTTCTATGACACCCACATTGACCAACATCCATTGAACTTAATCTTTTCTTTCCTGTCTCTGAAAGAAAGGAGCAGGCTGCATTTGCTGTTATCCTTAAACATTTCTTTTAATTCTCCCAGCCTTCTTCCACAGTATTGTAAGTAATATGTTGTTCAACTATTAAAGCACAAACCGTCAGCTTCATTCTCAGCTTTGCTGTGCTACTGGAGATGGCCAATTTCTCATTTCCTCCCTGCACAGATATAAGCTAACAGACTAGATTGCTTCCCTCACTGACAGCACACAGCACGAGCCTATAATTTTTTCTTATTTTCATCAGTATTTCAAAAATACCATCGAAGGCTACAAGCCATATCCAGCCAAAATGTCTGTTTTGCAACTTTGCTTTATATTTTCCTTCTGACTATAGACAACTTTTGAAGCAAGAGCTTAACACTGGGGATCTTCTATGATTTCATACAAGACATAATTTGTGTTCCTTTTAGTTGTATATGTTTGCTTGGGAGATGGCAGACACAGTTCAGTTCTATCAGAGAGTGAAAGATTCTAGGCAACTGTTCTATATGAAATGACATGGTATCTTTGCTATGTGAAGCGTTAATAAAAGCTATGCCATTTTAAGTGCTTTTAAGATGAATGAGGTTTAGCAATATTTCAATAAAGATTGATATGAAGAAAACACACACTTTAAAACAAAAATGTTTCAAGCATTTCTATTAGCTTTAATGGTAAATTTAATGGGAGATGATGCTATAGTAGTCTATTAGAGTTCATTAATGACAACAGCCAAAACAGTATTAAACACAATACATACGATTACAGTCTGGGCTTGAACATTAAAAGTGCTGAATACTGTGTCTCCAATATAGTGGAATAAAATCAATAATAATTTTAATTCAAGTAATTGAATAAATTCATTGATTTCCGTAGGACAACTCTTATGCTTCAAGGCAAGCATAAGAATAAAAGCAGGCTTACAAAAAGAAGTCAGGACTTGTATTCTTTCTGGAGACACAGGAATCACTTCATATTTCATGTTTCTGGTCTGTGCTCTAGTTACCAAGGAAAGACCTGTAGGAGCCAGGGATGTGGCTGGCATTCCTTTTTCAAGAAAAATGCAAATATGAAAATTGTAGTAGTATTGTAATGTGCACACCACTTACCAGATAAGTTAATTAAGTTGTTTATGGCAGATAAAATAATAAATGGTCTAGGAATTGTCCGATTATTCATCTCAAGAAGCAACCAAAGTACTAATTAATGCCTTAAAATAAAAAAAAGTGCAAGGTTTTGCAAAGGCTGTTTTCAAATTCTGAAAGCTTTTTAATCTTTTAACTAGCTTTGCAAAATATTGATTACTTATTTATTTTTATAATAACACTGGAGGACCCAGACAGCAATTTAATACCATAACTAGTACTTCAGTTAAAATTAAAATAAGGTCGTGTATAAGTAGTAGACTTTTCAGTGGCCTTCTAATAAAGCATATGGAGGAAAACCCCAGCACTGCAATCTTTTTATTTTCCAGCCACATATTTAATAAGAGTGATGACGACCTATCGAACACAAAATGTATGCCTGAAACTCTCTCTCTAACCCCTATTGATGAAGAGTATCTCACTATCAGCTCAGCATCTGTGACCTCACTTTCACGGGGAGGAAGCTCCGAGACACTCTCCACAACCATGGCTACCCCACAACCACGTGTTTGTGGTCCTTTCTCATCATCCCTGCCTGCTAGAGAGACACATGACAGTGACAATGAATGGGAAGACTTGGAGGAACTAGAGGAAGAGAAGGAAGAAAAGGAAGATTGCACTAGGGTATGTGATAGGCACCAGATTATTAACAGGTAGAATATGACAAGGGAAAAGAAACACCCTTAAGAATGCAACATTCTTAAACATTAATTTTAACTCATTATCTATGCTATTTCTGCATAGCATTTTTTACTTTCCTGAATGTCCACAATCTTCAAGTAAAGCAGACCTTCCTCTATGCCCAGCTCTCCAGAATTCTTTACTATTTGCCTTAAGGCCATCTCCTTCCTCTTGCCATCTTACTATTTCTTTAACTTTCCAGCATTCTGCAGTATTATTCCCAGTGTACAAAGGCCTAAAAGCCCTCTAAGTAGCCTCTAAAATTAATTGGAGTCAGCTACTTGGGTTTTTTCTGTCATGTTGTAAACCCATGTGGAAAATCACTTTGTTACAGTAATACTACTGTGATGTCCTGATAAGAAAGTATGATCCTTGTGCTAATTACTATTCAAAATACAGGGCTCCGTCCTGCCAAATGCTGAACATCTTGCATTTCTACTGACACTAATGAGCTCTGAATTCCTACTAATTTGAAAGCACCGAGGACAAAATTTAGGTCCAGCCATTTCCTTCAGTGGGACAGCAATAGCAATAACAACAATAATCTCTGCACCCTACTATTGCAATGCTGGTCAGTCAGAGGACTCCAAGCCTTTCTTTACACATTTCAAATGCCAAAATTCCAGTCCCTGATGGTATTCTCTGCTGTATTAGGTCCTATCAATCAATCACCATGAAGCTCCACTAGGTAAAAAGAAGTAAAATTAGTTCCAGATAAGGCAGTGACAGATCAGAGAAATCCTCATGTATGCTCTTATTTATACCATCTGAGGATCTGATTCCTATCTGCATATAAAACATAATGGAAGACGTTAATGAAGCAACAGAAAAGCCTACATCAAACATATCTTGTGGTTATTTTAATAGGAAATGGAGATCTTTGTGACTTTGACAAAGTCAGAGAACAACGGTTATGGATTCTCTGTAGTTCTTAACAAAGTGGACAACTGCCTGTGTGTTGACGAAATCTTGAATGACCCTGCCCTGTCTGATGGAAGACTAAGAAGGGGAGACAGAATCATTATGGTACAGTAATCCTTTGAGTTTACACAGAGGAGATAATATTTGCAGATCAATGTCATTTAGCTTCGGCATTCTTCCGTCCGTAGGGTCCAGTTTATCACATATTTAGGCATGCAAGTGCAAATGGATCCTATAATAAATGCAATTCTGCTGACTTCAGTAGGACAAATTTCAGACTGAATAGATTGTATGACCGGGCAAATAACATGAATCATCTAGCAGCAATGCAAGACAACTGAGTCATTAAATGCCTTCCCAATTAAATGACATAAACTGAATTAATGTAATAAGATAGGTGACATACAAAGGATGCAGGAGTTAAGTCCTTTTTAGTGTATGAATAAAGCCTGTTTTCAGCCTGGTTCATCTTCATTTTCTTGCATTAGGCTGTCTTCCTTGGTTTTTGCTACAAGACCTTGAGTTTCAAGAAAAAAGAGCTATTTTTATGAAAACTCTGCATTCAGAAAAATAAAAGCTCAAAAAAGAAATCTTACTGTAGCCTTAACTGTTGCATTCACTGACATTAAATACCACAGCAAAAGCAGTAACATGAAAGTAAAAACTAATTTAAGTTCATATGCAAAATTTAGAGTGGAGGGTGAAGTACATAATGGTCAATGAGATCTATGACATCATTTTACCGGTTTGTCATTTAGGTGAATGGAATTGATGTCACATCTTTACCATGCAATGAAGCCCTGACTTTACTGCAAAGCTCTCCTCCTGATCTGCACCTTGTGGTTGGTCGCGCTGACAGTGATCCGCATCCCTCTATTAGGCCAGATGAGATTCCTGAAATTACTCTCACAAAAGGTGCCAATGGACAGCTAGGTGTGTAGTAAATGCTATGCATACTATTTTGGACAGGCATTACAGCAATCCTAAGATAATCATAAGAAACTGTGGTCTTGGATCAATATGATCCTGAGTGACCTTGACACCTTTATGCTCTCCTCCATCACGCATGACCAAGGATGGGAGAGCTTTATTTTGGGCAAGGTCTTAAAGGGAAGACTAATATCTCTTTATTAGACCAATGAAGATAGTTGGAAAAATTATCTTTGTATTATCACCCTATCGGCTGAAGTTTCAGGCAGATGTCCAGTCTCATATTTTTATGTTACTGATATACAGAAGTTGTTGGTAGTTAGATAATAATGTCTGCTACCTGCTGAGCCACATTAAGATCTGCACGTCGAAAGATAGAGTGGGGGGGGGGGGGGGGGGAGGCAAAGTTTAAGAAGGATGAGCCACTGGTTAGGGCAATAGTTTGCTATTCAAAAAACCTCCACTCAAATCCTTGATTCACCACAGACACAAGGCTTTATCTACATTGTGCAATACAAGTGACAAAAGAAGTCCCCACAGTGTGAGTATCTTGGCATTTCTGCAACATGTGGCGAGTACTGCACACAGATAAACCCAGGAAACAGTACAGCTATATTTGCTCAGGTACAGCATCCTGTTTCCAGTTCAGAAACTACCTTGTTCGGAGATTGCTTGAATATCATTGCACAATTCTGTTTTGCACTGTATAGGTATCTCCTTAGTTGTCATATGCCTCCATTCCCTACGTCAGTCTAAAGATTGCAAGGCACTTGAGCACTCTGGTAACGAAGGAGTTACTGCTATGCAGCTAAGTGTCTTATTCAAATGACTATTCAACATCAGGTGAAATAAAGCACTATGGAACAGCTGAAGCATAGAGATGGACAATGCCATTTAAGGGTTTTTTCCATACTTTTTTAACATTTCACTCTCCCAGTCCAGCTCTTATACCCCGTCTCACTGGGGCAAGACTGTTGTTTATAATGTTGGTGATTTGTTCAGCCTATCTTTCAATGACTCACATCTATTCCATTAGGCTGTACGTCACTGGCAGTGACATTCGAAACACGCTGCCACAAAAGATGCTTTCTCTGCATTATTCTAGGCTTGAAGCTGACAGGAGGAGCTGGAAGCAAGTTACAAGGTATTTACGTGCTAGAGATAGTGCCTGGCTCTCCTGCCAGTGTGGAAGGCAGTTTGCAGCCACGAGATCAGATTGTTTACATCTGTGGACTGTGGACTGAGGGCATTAGCCTGGATGACGCAGTGAGAGCGTGTGAAGCTGCCACCCAGAACGTCCAAATCAAAGCCACAAGGTAAATCTGAGCATGCTCAATCTCAATCCTAATGTTAAAGCAGGTTTCTAAATTTTACATCAACAAGTCAAACAATAAAAACAAGACAAACTACAAGAAAAATGCTTTACCTCAAAGGTTTGAACGTTGCAACCTGATACATAACACCCATAAGATATCTTAACTCCTTGTAATTACAACTAACACAGTGAATACAAGTAGACTCGTACGACACAAATGAGAACTCTCCAAACTTCATCATCCAAACACAAATGTGAATCCTTCAACTGTGAGGCTGGCCACCATTTTCAGATATCCTGTCCTCCAGGGAAAATATATTTCCACCACTAGTGCCAACCTTCTCCATACATTCTCAGATTCACAACTACAGGGAAGAAACTACCTCTGATGGGAAACTCCGAGTTACTTCCAACAGCCAAATATTTTAGAAAGGTGTTAAAAATGCAGCATTTAATCTGCAGCAAGTTAAGAATTTCCCTCATCAGTTCTTGGCTGCACTTTAGATTTATTGTGTTCTACAGTCTGATAGAGCATCAGCAGAGGTCCTGGACCAATATAGAAACAGCTTCCAAAGATCTCAGAGGAACAGTCAAACAGTAACCCAACAGCGTGTGAATGACTAAGTTAGATAACCAGAGTTAGCACTAGCGCGTCTGTCACAGCTGTCTTAACGTAGTTCAAACTTTTATCAATGTTTTATTAACTTGCACTGGGCTAGCAGAAGAAAAAACTGCAGCCTCATTATACTTCTTGCTGCACAAACAGTTAGTAGGCAACACACCCTGAGCGTAAGAATTTACAGTCTAAGGAGGCAAACAGAAATATGGTAAAGAAAATTACAAAAGATCATTCCCACTTTATAGAGGGGGAACCAAAGCTGAATTCAAAATATTCCACAAAGCAGTTCTATATTGGGACAGGTGGTTTAACATGATCTTTCTTTCCCCAACCCACTTAAATAAAATGTTTCACTGTTGTTAAAGACAGTCCAATATTTTATATACTGATATAAATGCTCTTTAGGAAAGCACCATTAACAAAATCATAGAAGTACAACTAAAATTTAAACAACTGACTTTCTGAAAATATTTTTCATATGTACTTTACAAAGCATGTAATGGCTGTTAATGGCTCACATATTTCACTTTTTCTGCCCCCAGAAATGGCAATCCAGTGGTTCCTATAGAGCAGGAAAATAGTAAGTAAGGCTAATATTTTCGGTTTTTAGTTCAAAACTTGCTTCTGATTTTGGAAATAAGCATAAGGAATTGATTCACTGCATTTAAAAAGTTATTAACAGATTGTAACTTGGCATTCAGTATTTGTGCTACGGACATTCTAAGAGTCTGAAGAAAATTTGGTAGCTCTTTAAAGCTAGAAATAAAATGTATAGTTCTCTGTAAAAAAAATTATTGCATTTTGCATAGTCAGTTTCTATTTTTTTAATTTGTTGTTATTAAATGGGAATTTTACGTGATCATATTTCAACACCTGTTTTGATTGAAACTATTCTTTAACGGGTTTTCCAGCACTTCTTGAGCCACTATTTAATATGAGCCACTACTTCATCATCTAGACCAACTTTTTAAACTGTTATCAATAAATCTATAGAAAATCAGAAACAGGGAGCACCAATATCCTTTAGTTAACATAAGAGCATTCCTATCAGGGGACGATATCTAATACTATAACGGACACAAAAATTCAGTAATCGTCTGCACTGCAAAGACTTGACCAGAATTGCTCTAGCAGTAGAAGGAGTCTCAGCAAGCAGAGGTTGCATCTGCACCATCAGGTGGAAGGATAGGTATCACGTCTACGTCGCTGCGTAGAAAGTGTGTTAGCTATGCAAGTAATACTTTCCAGTCTACATTTGGCTGGAGTGTTAAGTCAGGCCTAGCCCACAGTTTCATTTACCTGACTGGATATCTGAATTTTTTTTAATCATGCAAAGATGACTTAAAAAGTAACCCTGGCCCAGAATTGCTCATTTGCCTACGCTCACCTGAATACTGGCATATGGCTACCTGAAGAAATTATTCCCAGTCAAGCTAGTTACAGATTTCCTACTCTACAACCACCACCCATGTGTTTGTTTTTATAAACTGAAGCAGCTTATTTCACTTACTGAAGAACAAGCTTCTTTGAATTTACTACAAGACACAGATAAAGTTACACTACAGTGACTGAGAGTACATGTAACTAAAGCACGGTACATGCATATCCTGGTAGGACCTTGCTTACACATCCTTGCTCCACAAGCTTTGCAGATTCCACGATTTCTCAAGACACCTTTGAAATAGGTTACCAGATCTGATCCACCTCTGATACAGATTTATGAACTCCACAATGGTACAGTTACCTGCCTCTCTTATAAAACAAGATTCTTCCCTTTCATAAGGCACTTAAAAAAATCTATAGTAATTTGGTATTTGGTGTTCTGTTTGCTATCATCTCTGATAGATTTACAGATAAATCTGTAATAATTTGCTATTAAGGAAGCAAGCCTTCATTTTATAGACTCTGTTAGTTACCAAAATGCATACTAAAATTGCAAACACAACAGGGAACTTTTTTTTTTTTAACAACAGAACACTCATAATTTTCTATAACTGATACATTAAGAGTACTTTGTGGAAGACAAGTAAGATCACCAAGATATGATAAAGCAAAACCCCAAAACTGGGGGTGGGTGGGTAGAGGTGGAAGTGTCAAGAAATGCACATTCTCTTCTTACTTATCCATCTCTGCAGACACTAACACACCCCGCTTCTTCCCCTGCCTGATCATTGCCACATATCTAAATGACTCAGTCTGATCTCTGATTGTTGTTACAGTTTTAAAAGTGGCAATGACTGAGGTGCAATATCTCTGCAATTCATGACAGAATTGTTTAGATCACTGTGCAAATTGGCAAACTTAATCATGCAGTAGTAAGTGTCTCAAACTGCCCCTTATAGTATCAATATTGGATATTGATGCTTTGTTTAATAATCTAAGCACAGAGTTTGCATTTCCTTGTGTATATGAAGGTTAGCAGGAGGCCTGTCGGAACAAACCTACGTGTATACTTTTAGGGCCACCTGCTGAGACAGAGAAAGCCAACATTTCTGTCCCAAACGAAAACCTGAATTCCCGAGAAGAGCATCTGCTGCATCAACATGGTAAGGAACTTTGTATTTTTCAGTTAGGGTTTGTAAAATTTCGTGGCCTCTCTTTGAAAGAAAATAAGTCAGTAGGTGGTACTGGCAGCACCTGGGAAAGATTAATTCTTCATAAACAAAACTGCCTCCCTCAGAGTTTCAGAGAACATTTATACATTATCTGTTGCCCTGGTATCTCTGACCCTGTAACATGCAGCTTTTAAAGCTTGTTTTGGAACCTGCTCACCAGGAGGTAAAAAGTCTACAGGGATAATGTGCAGAAGGCTCAGTTCACAGTTCAGGAGTGTAAGCCTGCGTAAAAGTCCACAGGAATTTTTTTGTATTTTACATGTCAAATATAAAATGTTTTATTATGTCTCTGAATATGATTTTGAGTGTTATACTATAGAATATTTTACCAGTACAACTGTGTAAAAGTCATTGCTGCTTTTTCACAGAGAAATATTTGGAGGAAACAAACTGTGGTGCTCAGCAAAACACTCCCGATTCTCCAGACTGTAAGGTAAGTGACAATTTTATCAAGTGTGAGGCAGTCCATCAAGTGAAGTGAGCTATATGGAGTAGATTTTTTCAATAGTGGTATTTAATATATTTGCTTCCTCTCCAGTTTCTTTGAAAATGTGAATATAATGCATTTGGAGAGCATCCTGTGAATTGTTGAATTGCTTCAGCATTCATGGACTAGAATGTGCTGAGCAGTTCCTGGGGTCAGACTCTTCTATTGCTGTTTTTCAATGTATAATAACACTATTTTACCAGCTTGGTAATATAAGCACGACTCATATGATGTAGCGCCTCCATTAGGCCTTCACAGTACTCTTAACAGCTTACAAGATTAATCCTTAGCTTAGAAAGAAAGTAGCAAACGAAAAAGTTACAAAACGTCACAGTATGGGATCCTGGGGAAAATAACTGTAATTGCAATCGTGAAGCACTTTCCACAACAACCTTTGAAACCTGAGATTAATATGTTTCATTCTGAAATTCTCAGATGAGGCATTTGAAAAGATGGTAAAATTACTCCAAACCCTTGGAGTATTATGTGGCAGTGACATAAACAATAACAGTTTGAATTTAGAAAAGCTATGCCATTTTTGAAATGATGAATTCCTAAAATACACAGGTGCGTTCTTTGAAAAAAGAAGTAATTTCCATGCTCAACATACAATGCTTCAAAATTCTTACAAGCGCAAACATCACTTCTGTTTGTGGAAAATAATGTTACTTGGAATTGAAATTACCCACATTGGGACTGATATTTCATGGGAATAGATTTACTAGTTTTCTCTTGATTGTGGTTTGCAAAGAAGGGCTGTCTCTTGTTAAAATTAGACCTCCAACCTAGCAGAAAAATTGGAACAATTTTCTCACTTTTGATTAAGTCATCACTATTACTGCTTTTTCCACACCATTTAATCCATGATGGTTTATCTGTTCAACTTGCTAAAATAATTTCTGAGGATGATATTTGCAACATTGCGACTACTCATGCTGCAAGTCATAAACATTTCCAGGTTGCTGCTATTTCTGACATAATACTTGACCCTAAAAAAGCAACTTATTTTAAAACTGAATGAAATGCTAAAGCCAAACATATGGGTATGTTGGGGTTGCAAGGTTAAGATTTTCATTATAGAACAGTAAAAGAATGGAATATATACTGTGTTATTGTCACGCTGGAGATAAGAGTGACTTGTTTGTCAATGAAGGTGATGTATTTGTTATATTATAAAAGGATTACAAAAGTATATGTTTCCTTGCTCTTAAGAGATTATTCCCCCCACCCCCCCGAGCAATTATTTAAAAAGATTATGGAAATAACTATGTACTATTTTCATTCTGATACATACAGCTGCTATGTTAATCACTGGAAGCTCTATACACCTATTCAAGAGAAGGATATATCCCATAATCTACATCAGCCAGTGAGGACTGTGAAGCATAATGGGATTCTTTGGTATTAAAAATGCAAACAAAACACAGCCCTGAATAAACTCCACTTTAGACTGCATCCTTTTCTATTGTAGGAATTTATTATTAAGATTGAGCTGGAAAAAGCAGAAAATGGAAGCCTAGGATTTGCACTGGTAGGTGGAAGAAATGGCAGGGCTATCCTAATAAAAGCCATCAGCCCGGACAGCATTGCAGATCTAGATGGGAGGCTTCAAGTTGGTGATATCCTGCTTAAGGTAATGCTTGTTCTTCATTGTTTTGGCCTACATTTTCTCTAGTTACTCTATAATGAGCATTCTGTTCAGTATGGAGGTCATGCAGATTGGAAATCTGAGGCTGCTTGGCACAGTAACATGTAGAAGATGGTGTCCCCGGCTCCTAGGGGTCAGAGGGCTGTTCTGCCCCCCGGCCCCTTGCCTAGAGTTCAGCTCCCTGGGGGATTGGGCCTCTCTACAGCTGGAAGGTGGCTGTTGGGCACTCCAGCAGAGAAGCAGACCCAGAGTAGCAGGGCAAGTGGCAAAGTGCAACTACTCCGCAGTGTGACTGTGCCCAGTGAGGATTACACATGAAAAAAATCAGGGAAACGAGAGTTAACTGATGAAGCATGCATATAACCAGGAGGAACCAGCTAACCAGGAGGAGGATACTGGGAGGAACCTATCATCTGTGCCAGTTAGGTATTATAAAGACAAGCAAAAATCACTAGAATTAGAGCTTTTGAATCTTCATTTAAAATTTTACTATCTTAACCACCTTTTAACCCAAATAATTTTTTTTTTTTTTTACCCCAGATTATTTTTTCTTCCCCATCCAGGAGTTTCAATATTTTTGTTTGCTTTTCTATTTTTCATTTACTTCCATCTCTTCTCCACCTTCCATCTGAAGTGGGGGAAACAATGCCCTCTTAGTGTCTCAGAAGAGATGCAGACTATACTGTTGTGGTGTGCTGCTGGCAGTCACAGTATAAAGTAGAGAGGAGAGGATCAAGCAAGTTACTAAAATGGGAGGGGATGAGGACACGTGAAGTGCAAAGAAGTTATATAAAGATTGCTCAGTGCTGGGATATGTGATAAAAAAGCTTTGTGTTACAGGACTCTGGAAGTACATGTCATTGTATTTTTCAGGTGAATGAGACTTTCGTGTCTGGTCTGCCACGCCAAAGAGTTATAGATCTGCTGCGCCAGGCTCAGGGCACTGTTCAACTCACTGTCTGCAGAAGCACGGCTTTGCATTGGGCTTATTCAGGCAATCAGAGCAACAGTATACCTTCCCCCTCAAACACAAAAGCAGAGCCTGGTAAGCAGCCACATCCATTCAGTACATGATAAAAGTGGGATTATGTGTTGCCTGAATTCAGCTTTCCTATTAGCAAAACAATTCAGTATTACTAACTTTATAGTTACTCCCGACTCATAGCTGTAGATGCAAATGCATTCTTCACCCTGATCTGCAGCTCTGGCTAAGCTACTCGAGACATAGGACCACAGGGAACGAATGCCTAAGTGTGATTTTTTTAAGTCTAATAGTGGAAGCAAAGCTGCAAGACCCTCAAAGATGCTTTAACTCAGCTTATGTTTCCAAGTCATGAAGATTCCTGGTCTGTGCTGATTTTACCCAGTTTTATACAACTTACTGATGGAATCACAGCGAATTACTGACCCAGCTGCTAAACTACATTTCTCACAAATTTCACATCCCAGCACTCCTACCTTATCTCTTGGAAGCACTACACCTCCTGTTCTGCCTGGCAGACAGCTCCTCTTCCTTCTGTGCTTGGTCATGTTCAAATCCAGAGGCCTCTACTCCCAGGTTGATTGCTATTAATTTGAGAGCACACCCACCTGCATAAGGCAGTACTTAGAGAGCTGACTAACTCTAATGGAAGAAGCTCGTGCTGCAGGCTCTGCTCTACTGAATATTCAAAATTTAAATACTAATTAAAGCTGGGAGTGGAAGCAAGGGTATACTATTACCAATAGATTATGGGTTTATATTCCTCAACTTTCTATTTCTTTGAACACTGAAATGTTTCCTATAATGGAGAAACTTCAATGAGAAGAATACAGAATTCCTCCTTAAGATACCTGCTGGCCTGCTGGTTACAAATCGGAGGCTATGTTTCAAATCTTCTCACACAGGAAGCCACTGCCATTGCTATTTGCTTTCTCCCCAGCTGACTAGGGAGAGATGCAGAGCTGGCTGTGGGTTTTGGACATATTTTACAGCAAACATTTATGCATCTAGTTAGCTTTACTGATGCAAACTTACCTGCATAGGTATTTTAGGCAATTCTGCTGTTAGGCAGCAGCTGCCTCTAGGGTTTAAGGATCTCAATTTTTTCCATCTCTATTAGACTGAACCTAATCCTCTTGAACTCCTAGCCTGTGTCATAAGTACTGGATGCTCCTTCACTTACTGGAAGCTACCCTGGGTGTTTCAAGAGCAAAGCTTTCCCCTAAGGGTAAGAAAAGTATGCTCGGCACTGGCCTGGAAGGAGGATGTTCACTGCCCCATCTCTATTCTAGTTTCATTTTGGGGGGTTAATGATGAAAAAAAAAAAAAAAAAAAAAAAAAAAAAAAAAAAAAAAAAAAAAAAAAAAAAAAAAAAAAAAAAAAAAAAAAAAAAAAAAAAAAAAAAGGAAGGACAGTCAGTTATAAAAAGGCTGATTGAAGCTCTTGCCCATTAAGGGCTGTGGAAATATTCCCATTCACTTAGTGAGACTAGCCTTTTTTCCAGCTCTGCAAATTCAAGGAAATAGCTGTGGGGACGTTTATTTGCATCTCACATGACATTGGTGAACTACACAGTTGCTGGAAAGTTTAAACTGTTTTCCTGGACCAGCAAAACCCAATGGTATTATAGAAGCACTGGCATCAAAGTTAATCTATGGTATTTGTCCCTTAGCACTGCAAAGGAATGGGCTGGGTTAGGGAGGGCAGATTTAAATTCTGTTTCAGTTTTTTTATAACTGCTGTAGATACAGGGGTCTACTTCAGTGTATCTTCTGGCAACCTGAATTATGCTGGCTTCTTCAGTGGTGATATATGGCATTTGGGTTGTACTAACCCTCTCCGAGCATCCGTGAAAGGGATATTCCATACCAGTTTCTGGCACTGTATCTCAGTGCCTCTTCCAAGGTCAAAGTCCTCTGGTGTGGGTGGCACAGAAGAAATGGATCTATATTTTCATGCTTTATAGGCATTTTATTTTGGTTTTGTTTTCTGGTGTTCAGACAGTGCTGAGGGAAGCCTGGGAGCTCAGCCTGTTTTCACTTTCAAGGAAGGAGAAGAATCCAACCAGATGTGCACCAAGGTAAAATCTGAATCAGGCCTCTAGACGTTATCAGGCAATGTACTCGTATGTTTGTTGACAAAATGGGTTTGCTGCAATGCAGGCAAGAACCACACCTTCTTAATGACAAAAGATTAATGTGAGGGAAGTGTGCTGCAATGGCTGGAACTGCTGACATTTGAATGAGTCAGGGGATTCCACTGAGATAAGAGCATATGATTAGTATCATATATATGCTAAAAGGGTGGGGGGAAGGAAGGTTGCATATGCGAGTCTTGTTCTCATGCTTTATAATATTGGAATGAATGATTTATTAATTTTACCATTCTTTCGGTATTTTAAAACAATATACTTTAAAAGATTTCTGTTCAACTGTCTTCCATTAATATTCATAACTCCAAGGCACCCAAACTTCTTCAAACATGGTTATGTTTTTGAATCTTAGTAAGTCTTGCAAGACATTCCACATCAAATTTTATAGCATCTATTATTTCTAAGTTTATAACTGTAAAACCTCTCTTCAGAAAATGTGATAAATATAGGTTTTCTTATCGTCCAGAACAACTGAAAAAAGCAAACCCTGCCTCAACCAATATAATCAAACTAGAAAAAGGAAAATTGAAGAAATCCTTGATGTGAATAAGCTGAGAAAACCTTGAAGATTAACTTGGGGAAGTTTTAAGTACACTGTTGGAATGGGTGTTGGAAATAAACTGTTAGAGATTGGTGAAATGTAACATCAAAACAAAATCATGTCCTGATCTGACAAAGACTAAATAGTATCAATGGGAAGTAGTAGATAGTACTAAGGTTACAGGTTCCTTATTAGATCCCTGAATTAGCAAGGTAGTAAGCCACACTTTTAGTTTTAAGCATGTGGTTAAGTCTACCTAGTTCAGCAGAGCACATACCTAACTTTAAACACATGCTAAATTTTTTTTGCTGAATTGGTTCCATTAACTCTCGCGTCTTCATTATTTCCAGCTTGCCTTTAGCTGTCTCCTATGAATAGAAACTATTTATGCTTTACTTCATAGAGCACAGCTGCCATCTACTCCAAAGATGTGGACTTTGAAAATGACAAGCTACTGACAAAAACAGATGCAAAACAGCAGCAGTAAAATACCTTTCCTTGGCAAATAGAAAACAAAAATCCATATAGCATGCTCCAATCAGTGTAGTCAGTAGGTGCAGAAACTAGGTAAATGAATTCATGGTTAAATAGTCAGCCATGAATTCCCCTATTCTAACGGGGAAATACAAGCACGAAAGTAAGAAAATAAGGTATAAGTGGCAGCTACCGTTAAGATTCTGTGGGGCATTCAGTAGTTTATACTGTGTAACATGCCACGGTGGTTTCTGAGTGCATGTGGAATATTAAGCAGGGAAAGAAGAAGAAACACCACTCTAAACTAAAATTTAAATAATTATCTGTCAAATGTTACAACTGAGAAGGAGACACTTCCACATACTAACGGCAAATGTCCTGCATCATTATTTAAATGCAAGACCCAGCTATCATTCTCTAGGACAGAAAAACAGCCACCGATACTATTGCTTCTCCTGCATATGGAGGGCGATCAAGGGTTCTTGTTGCCTTCTCTGTTAGTTGAGTGCTTCTTCACAGAGCAGCTGCACCCTGCTTCTAACAGCTGGCACCGTTGTGTCTGAGATAAAAAAAGGAAATTATTACCAACAATTCCATCTCAGACACTGGTGACTCATGGTTCCTGTGATTGCATTTTCTTTATGAGATCAGAGAGGATATAACTAACACAAACTTTTTCAAAGTTTAGTCGTGCATGCTACGTTGTAGTGATGTCTGAAGACTGTATTGTTATGAAACTCACAAATACAGCTGCTGTGGCTTTTTAATCCTAGTAGATACTGCAATGCTGAGTCAAAGTTACATACTTTCTTCTGAAAGTGGAAGCTATTCTATTTTTCCTTTCCTTCTTGAGTGAAGGACACATTTTTGTCAGATACAAGAAAGATTGTTGATGAAAGTAACTACATTCTTGATGTTTCTGTGTACCGAGTTTTCACAGCTTTTTCTTATTTTAAACCTGCAGGATCCGGAAAGTACACACAATTCCCCTCTGCAATGTCAGCTGGCTGGACAAGACTATAAGGAAATCATCAGTAACATTTCAGATGGGTAAGTCTTTCAAATGCAGTAAAACTATTAAAATAAAGAGCATGGATAATTTATTCTTATATTTTCAGAGCTGTCCTAATATGGTATGCAAATGCACTCATGTGTCCCAGATGATTGTTGGAATGAACTGTTCCCAACAGATCTATTGGAATGCAGCTCCATCTGCAGTAAGAGTTGCTGAACAGCTTCCACACAGCTACTAGGACAAAAGAAACAGAAGCTTCTAGGTGTAACAGCTCAGACATGCCTCAGCTTTAGCCTTTCTAGCTGAGGAGGAGAGAGAACAGTCGTAGCACTATCGCACTGGTGTGGGCAGGGTCCCCGTGGGTTTTACTAAGTGTTCCAAGCAGGTCTTGCAGCCTGGGCTGGACCCTGTGCTACTATGACTGTAGTGATGCAGATGTTGAACTCCAGTCATCTGGGAACCAAGAGAATTTGAGGATGTTACTCCAATGAAAGTACATAGTACAAGAAGAGTTCTACTTCAAATTTTAAATCTACGGTACAATGGGAAATCAAAGAATAATGGAGTGTTGATAAGACATGGGTGGTTTTTTCTATTACAATGATGCAGAATATATGAAATATGATTATTTTCTTTATCACTTATAACCCACATAAATGGAAAAAAGGACTAAATAGTTACATTTAAAACTTAAAATTTTGTAAGAACAGTACTTGGCCAATCAATTAGGGATGAAAATCTTCCCTAACTTACCTGCGTGCAGAGATAAAGTTTGAAAGAAGCTTTGAGAGCACCTGCAAGTGAGAACATCCATGTGAACATAGGCTCAGTGCCACTTGCTATTATCTCATTGGTAATATAACATTATCTTGTGACATACCAGGTAATCAGGTGTGATTACTATTAAATTATTTTGCTCTGTGTGCAAGAGGCATAAATGCATCTATGGCTAATACAGTTATCATATATAGGGATAACAAGTATCTTTTCTGGTTGTTTGGCAAATAGGATGGTTTTCTGGCCCCTGTCCTGTAATCTGAATCTTTTTACTATCAGTATTTTCTGGTTTTTCTATTTTCTACTTGCAAAAGCTTTGTGTAAGTTGAACATGCACAGCCTGCAATGGTTACTGATATTTGCAAAGCTGCTACTTAATATCTTGTTCTCCCTCTTAAGTGTACCTTTTACTATTTCTAACTTTATGTATTATGATCATACATAGGATAGGATAATGGAAGACTGTGATACGCTTAGGCCTACTGACATAGTTAAATGTTAGGTCTGAGGGTTTCAGAGTTAGCCAGTAGAGGAGTATTTGACCCATTCTGCACACATTATAGTTGTATTCTGGATTGCAGGCATATCTTCTACCTAAAACATATTTAAGTGCTCTAAAATTTTCTAAATACATTAGGAAACAGTAACAAGCAAAGCCAATTTAGCTATGATTGATTGCCTAACAACTCAAAAATGTCATACATGAAAAATTGTCTATAACTGTGACAAACCTTATTTTCAATCATTTTTTTTGGGCAGCTTTTTATACAAAGCATGTTCTTATCTCTTTGAAAAAATGGAATACCACATACAGATAACAGTGTTTTTCACTAGCTATATTTGCAAACATTACTCCAGACAAAATGCTACTATTACTCCTTGAACTTATGTTCTTCAGAGTTCACACTAATTCTTGGAAATAGTTGCTCAAGAAAGTTAAAAGTGACCAAAAATAGATTAAAAACAAAACCTTTGTACGGTTCAGATTATCAAAGCTTCTGCTGCTTCCATAAGACTATTCAACTAATGCTGTTTTACAGGTCACAGAAATATGCAGAATGTGAAGGCTGCAGAAGAGAGAGTCAGCAGTCTGAGTCAGACAGCTGGAGCAATGAAGATGATGATATGCCCCACAGGATTTCTGTTCTACCTAGAAGTAACCATGCAAAAACTTCTCATTTCTTTAACATTATAGGCCAGCTCCTCCATATATGTACAGTGAGGACAACACTAATCCCTTGTATACAAGCTAAGGGCACAAAGTGCCCTTTGTGTCTCAAAGACTAGGGCACTCATGACAGAATTTTTTGCCATTGATACTTACGAAGGCTATCAAACCTTTGCAACATCCACAAGAAGAAGGCCTACATCAGGGTCTCCAACTCTTCTGGAGAACTGCTAGGAGGAAGGACCATGAGTCTGAATGTAGTTAACTGAATCCAGGGAGGGCAGCTCTGCTGGCCATCACCCACTCGCCACTGCTCTGAGCACCTCTGCTTTGGAACTCCAGTTTCAAAAGGATGAGCAACTTTTTAGTTTTATTTTTTGTGGGGTTTTTTGTGTCTTTTGTTTTGGTTTTTGATTGGGATTTTTTTTTCCTAATGTTATACATCATGTCCTCCCCCAAAGGAAAATCTCTGAATACCTTGATTATACTCAATTAGGTGTACAAACTGAGCAAATAAGAGGAAAAGCAAGTTGTTGAATTAATTTAAGCAACATCATGACAATTGTTCAAAACATGCACTATTGGATAATGCAAAGAAATGACACATTGGCTCAGTGGCTGAACAAAAAAAAAGAACATTGCAATTTGGGTCAGAAGGAAACTTGTGGGAGCTTCCCAATGCATAATTAAAAAACTGAAATTCTTAGTTTGTCCCAAAATGAATAAAATAAAAGCACATGGATTATCTTACTGACTGGATGTAGTAGAAGGCCTTTTTCATATATGAAAGGCAATGACAAAGAAGGCTTTGAGAATTAACGGAACAAATTCCAGAAACATACTACAAAATGTGCTTGTTATCACTGCATGCAATAGGTTTTTGAAATCATTCTCCTCTCTTCCTTACTGTTTCCATACAACTCCTCAAAAAAGTAAATTAAAGCTTTCACAAAAACATAGAACGAAAGGGTCAAATTCTATCTCAAGACTTTGTTCCCAGAATCACCAAATTTCACAACATATAACTTCATTAAAACCTCTAGAACTGATGTGCTTAAACACATACTGAAGAACTTTCACAGCTCAGGTGCTAAAGCCTCTCTGATGTCAGAAGGCAGTTTACAGAAAGAATCTGCCTAGTTGTTCCTATAGAAAATTAAGCTGATTCTGCCCCAAACAAGAATAATTTGTGAAAGGAATCATACTGAGGATGCTGCAGTATCCCATAGATTCTCTGAAATACAGGTCTCTCCCTGCTTCTTCTTGCTCTGTAGAAGCAATGAATTGCCGATGTCTTTTATGAGAAGTAAACCACAGCGATCTCCCTCACACTACCAAGCCGTGCTGGCTAGCAAACAGAAAATGATAACCAATCTATCCTCTACGACCTGCTCAAAGTTTGGGTTTTTTATTCCACTTGATCTGGAAGGAGAGAGAAGTGTATGGGAAATAGCGTGCTCTGTCTGGAGCAGAGGATCTATCTTCCCTGGCACTCTCAACTAGTTAATAGAAACACCCTCGCATCTGTGAGGGTTAGAGAACAGTGAACAGAAGGTGTCTTAAAAGCTCAGGCAAGGCAGGTGCAAGTTGTAGCCCAAGACAAAAGCAAAGCAAGCACAACACTTTTGTAACGGAGATTAGTTAAGAGTAGCAATGACATCTTACAAGAGGAAAACAAGGCATTGCTCCTTGTCTTCAGCCTACAACAAACCTGTGGAACAGATCATCAGGTTTTCTTTGAGACAGTTGCATGCTATTCTTTGCCAACAGTAGCCTAGCACTAAAAGGAAAAATTCCATAATTCCTCTGCCTCAAACCACTATTTTTTACCAAACAAGCTATTGTTTTTACTCTACATGGTACCAAAAGTTTTTCAATTGCTCCAGTAGAGTAGTGATATTTCTGGAGATATAAATGTTTGTCCATCTTCTTAATCTGTCAAGTTTCGGATCAGAACATGTACTTCAGGATGAGCTAATTAGTAAAACTGAATCCTGATTTTGGTGCATCAAAGATACTTCACATCTTGTTCTTTAAGGGGAGTGTGAGGTAAGGTGAAAAGAACAGAAGATATTTTCTTACTTCAGGGAGGAAGAATTTGCAGTGATTATTCCTAGCAGTGGGGTGTGGCAATACTAATTTTCAGGAAAGTGTTGGAAACATGAAGATGATTCACTGTGAAGATGTGGCCAGTCTCCTATACCAATATAAACTAGCATTAAAGTTTACAATTCTGCAAGAACTGTTTATTTAGAACAGACTGTATTTAGAAACTATATGAGGCAATAAGTTGCAATAGTTGGATCTGCTTCCAAATTACATGAAATGTGGTGCTGGTTGTATACATGGTGCTGACTTATTCTTCTTTCTGCTGTGAACATAAGTAAGCCAAAAATATTTTTTCATATTTCACTTCCACAGTATGAGCATCAAAATGTACTTAAGTACTTAAGTACTGCAGCCTCCTAGTTTTTAAAGCCAAGACTTTGCACTATGAACAATAATCATTAAAAACTCCTTTGTTTTTTTGTTGATATACAGGCAGAACCTTTGCTTCTGGAGATGAATTGACTCAGTTAATTAACTTTAAACCACCACTGACTGGAGTAGGTCCAAGGACTGGCATCACAGGTCTTATTCGAAGCCTTCAGTTGCGGATTGAGAATCAAGAGGTGTTAAAGGAGTTTATGGTAAAGTGTGATACCTTTTTAAGATCTCAGTGTTTAGCAGAGGTAAGAAAGTGACTTAGCAGCCTTCTGCATACTGTTTGGGAGATCCACTTGTATATCTTTACTGGCTCCACTTTCTCAGAGAATTATTCCAGCCAGAATGGGGCTTCTACTCTGCTGTTTGGGTGATGCTACAGTATTTGGAGATCTCTTTTTCCACGCAGGTCAGGCTTACACTGTCCCCTGTCCAAAGATGCTGCCCACATGGAATGAAAAATAAATAATACACAAAAGTAGAGCACGAATCACTTTTTCCTAGACTGACGTTTTCCTGGTACCCCCTCAGCTCTGCTGAACATCTGCCTAAGAACTATTCTAGAGGCTGCATTAAAGCAAGACATCCATGTTGCTAGGGATTCACTAGTGTTGAAACACTTAGTTGATGAAAGGAAACTGTTTCACACAATGCTCCGGTGATCCATGGAACTCATTGCCACAAATTGCTATTAAGGTCAGGAGCTTTGTGAAAGTAAAAAGAAAAAGTAACGTACCTCCATAGATAATGAAAACACATAATTACATCTGATGGCATATAAATCATGAAAAAGCGTAAAATTAGGAAAGCATATAAAATCTCTTGTTTCAGGATATAAATAGAGTACTCCGTTATCAGGAAATTCCCAAAGAACACATTATTTCATAACTCTTCAACACAGTACTGCAATTTCCTTTAAAGGATGTACTCATCACCAGTGAAATAGGTTACTACCACTTTTCCATAGTAATTACAGCGTTATCAGTTTCTTTCGCTTGCCTTTATATCTCTGACTTTCTGGGTACAAAATCCCACGGGCTCAAGTGTGTAGGCTTTGCTGACTTTCCCTGAAGGCTCAAGGGCATGTATTAATTTCCATTCATTCCATTCCATTCCATTACTGATGTAGACACAGCATACTATGAGCTGGGTCATGCGTCTGCACAGAAAACATAAAGATCTAATAGGGGAAGCACTGGTTACCAAAACCAATGGATATTTTATCTGAGTAAAAGCTGTAGTAACTGATGAAGATGTTAAAGAACTGTCACATGTATTTCAGTCCATGTACGCTGTATAGTGGCACAGTGTGATGGCTGAGCATTGCGCAATGCATACCGAAGAGGTAAAAGAATAAAGAAAAGTGAAGGTAACTCAAAACTGTAAATAAATTAACTTGCA